TGATCTGTCTGGGCAGAGGTGCCACGATAGATACCAATATCTCAGGCTATATATGGTTATAGCTAGAAATATTTGATACATGCTAACCAATAGATCATTAAAGCACCGCTAATACATATTGTAACACTACGATAAGGGCTAAATTAAATCAGTAGTGGTAGTAGTAACATTACAAAATTACCGATCCAATACAAAGTAGGCTATAGGAATATGGCCATCGCCATACAGACTCCAACAAAATGGCACTGAGGTGTTCCCAATATAAACAGTATGAGCACCGTGCCATCCAATCATTCCCCCTGATAAAGCCACATGACCCGGCGGCATAACACATAGGGGAGGCTTTTTGACGTCATGACGCTCGACGGACAGTGAGAGGTACCAGCTGGCTATACATATCAGAACTGTTAGCAGTATTTGGAGCAATTGTTTTTGCAAAAAGTGCATTTACAAATTATACATGTCAGTGGGATATTTTATTACAAATAAATGCTTTTTCTGGTTATTTTTCTTGGCATATAAACTGATGGAGGACAATTAGAGGAGTGAAGGGGATCCAGACCTGTTGGATACTAATCCCATCTTTACATAATCCCACAAAGGGACACAAGCTCTATATGACCTTAACGGTTGGGTCATATATATAAGGTGAGAGCACAACTGGTGGAGGTGCACAAGTGTTGGTTTGGCATTAAATACCAGAGGTGAATTGAGGAACACTTGATTTGTTATACCACATTGATTGCAGAGAATCACAGATGTGATATGGACACTTGGATATATTTGTGTTGGAAGACTTTTTATATATATTTGCATATATATTTATAGCTTTAAGTGGAGCGCAGCACAGTTTTTGATATTTTATATTTATATTAGTAACATATTTGTATGTGTATGGCGCAAGCGATCTGCTAATATTCACATATTGGCATTAAGTATTTGGCATAGCAGCTCACAAGCTTTTATTTCATTTGTTCTGCATTCATGATGGGCTCCTGCATCAGAAGTGGGGTGATCAATTACTTTCCAGACATGAAAATAAAATTGTGAAAGTTTAATGTTTAATGAATGTTTCTCACTGAAGGTATGCTAAATTAATATTTTTAAAGCAACATTCATTTTATTATATTTTTCTTCTTCATTCCATTCTTTTTAGTGGGACCTTGCTTGTTAGGAAAGGTGCCACACCTTGGTGATTTTTAAACGTTAACGTGTTGTTCAACTTGATCTCCACCTCTCAAAAGTTGCCTGTACTAAGGTCACTGGCAAATTATGAATAAACTTAGGAAGGGGAAGGCGCTGGAGCATGCTTAGATCTTCTGCCAACAGAACCAGAGAACTGAGTGAATTTGACCACAAATGGCTCAATTCAATTAAACACCACACCAAAAATAGCACATTTCTTTCCAAAAGCTATATAAAGTCATTAAAACCACTACTGAAATACAGCATGTGCTGGTGCACTCTTATTATAGAAAATGTGCAAACAAAAAAAGTAGACTGTAAAAACAAATTAATAGAACGCGTCTCCCTGCAATCCAAACTAGGCCTTTTGGATCTGGTATGGATTTTGGTGACCCCATACCATTTCTTTAAAAAAAAAAATGTTACCGTCTGCTTTTGTTTACATTCTGCTGTCAGAAGAGAAATGCTAGCGGACAGCAGAAGCGTCACTGGTTAAGGACGCAGCTTGTGCTGCTTCCTTAACCAACTCGTAAATAAATATATTTGTTAAATAGCTTTTGGCCAGACCATGGCTTATTTAATGAATATGTTTACTTTTTCTTTTTTTTTTAAGTGAATTGACTTTTACATAGGATTATGCCATATTTACCAAGCATTTCATATTTTTTGGTCAATTGAAATTTTTCATACTGCATCCAATATTTGAAATGTCAAATGACCCAAATATAGCATGTAATATCCTTTAGTGAATTGAGCCCAAAGTCTTGTGTGACTGTAGTAAAGACCCTGGTCAATAGAGTGGAGCTAGGGAGGACTCTGACTCGGTAGACCCTTTTTCATAGGGTAAGAGGATTCCAGCCATCCGTGCGGACAGAAAGGCACATAACTAACATCCTAGGAACAGTTAGGGGGGTGTGTGCTGGGGGAAGGGAAGGCAGGGGGAGTTACCCATTGTAACAGGACAAAATCCTCTGTCTTGATAGAAGGCTTTTATTCCAGGTACTCAAAAAACCCAGACAGTTGGCAGCCAGTGAATGTAAAATAGCTACTGCTGACCAAACATTACTGTAGATGAGCAATAGAAAGACTGGGTGACCAGAGTTCCATGTGACTTTTTACAAAATTGTAGTAGGGAGATGCTTTCTTGATGTGCAAGTAACACTCCACCCTGCAGATGACATTAAAACATTTCACCTCTTCTGCTAGCTCTACCACAGAAGGGATTAGCACTGAGACACAGAAACCAGCTCTAGTAGCAACAGAGAAGAGTCTTGATTAACCATTTTTTTGCTATTCAGAATTGCGCTATTTTAACTGGCAATTGCATGGTCACACAACACTGTACCCAAACGAAATATATTTTACTATTACTTTTTCCACACAAATATAGCTGTTTTTTGGGGTCATTTGATCACATTTATATAACATGAAAAAAGAGCTTTAATTTCTGCTAGAAAAACATATCCAATAAAAAAAAATATTTTTTTAAATCAAATTTATTCATAAATGTAGGTCCAAATCTATCCTGCTACATGTCTTTAGTAAAAGGGAAAAAAACCAGCAAGTGTAAATTTAATTGGTTTGTGTGAAAGTTACAGTATCTACAAACTATTGGCTATATATTGAAAATTTTTTATAGTATTAGCGGCCATCAGAAACGTATAGTGGGTCAGTGATAGTGCAGCAGGCAATCACTAATATAGTGCTCAGTGCTAATATACACAGTTAATGTACTAACTCTGGCTGGGAAGGGGTTAATTTTGTGACTAACAAGTGTTAATGTGTGTATGGTGCGTTGCTTTTTACTATACGTCAGTTTCTTTTCCCCGCTTTGCAGGGGAAAACAAAAAGTGATCTTTGCCTCTGTTATAGAGCCCTGTGTTGTTCATCCACACAGGACACTACACTGTCATGTGACACAGCCAGTCAGCAGATGCCGTTGTGTCAAATCACAGGGGAGTAGGGACACACACCTGAAAGCCAGAAGCAGGCAGCAACATACCAGTACGCCACTGTGCCTGTAGATGCCACACCACCACGTATATGTACTGTGGGGGATTGGCAAATTTTTTTTTTTTTTTTTTTTTAAAGCAGAGCTCAAGAGACATCTGTTCATCCTTCTACACTTGCAAAGAAAAAGCAAAAAAAAAAAAAAAAAAAAAAAAAAAAAAAGAACCTGCTGCTGGTTTATCCCAGGATTATCCCAGGCTGGCCTACAGGATACCAGTGCCCAATCTGCCTGTAAGCAGTAACACGTGATGGTGAAAAATTTGTGTCCCACAAATAACCAAGAAATAAGTTATTTTTACACTACATACACACATCCTTCGTTTTACAAGTAAACATTTAATACATATCAAAAAAAAAAAAAAAAAAGGGTTTTTTTTTTGCTTTTTTTTTTTTTTTTCCTTTCTTAAGAAACATGGCCAATACCTATTTTTATACCAAAATGTGTGATCAGACTGGGGCCCGTCTTTTTTTCAGTTATACAAGATGTAAGAACTGTACTTGCATATATTTAAAAAACTAAACCAGAATCACTTTATTGAAAAACTTACAGTATACATTAAATCAGAAACTTCTACAAACAAAAAAAAAAAAAAATCTGGTGCCCAGCATAAGATGATCACTTGGTTGCCCAGGTAAAGTCAGGTGATGAGTGATCAAAGTTTGCTTGCCTTTTTATTCTGGTGCACTTGTTTTCTGTTTATGTTGATTTAGTAGAATAATACAAGAAAAAAGCTGTGATATTCAGTTAAAACACTACATCTTGATCATTTTACAGCATCCTTAAAGTAAACCTTTTACCAGTCTTCAGTATTTAATTAAAAAAAAAAAAAAAAAAAAAAAAAAAAAAAAAAGAGAGCGAAGCCTACAACTGCCAGTCTGGAAGTGTTTAATGCAAAATAGTGCATGTGCCTATAAACCTCTTAGATCTCGGATGAAAGGATAATTAGTCTTGGTTCACACTGAATGCCGCTACTTCAGCCCAATTTTAAAGCCACCGATCAGTGCGACTTGCCAGCATCTGTGCAACTTCATGCCAATGTCAATGAAAGTCACACATGAAAAAGAAAAAAAAATAGTGCAGGAACTTTTTTCTGAGTCACACACGATTTGGATGGTTCCATAGCCACAAATAGGGTACAACTTGTCATACGACTTTTATCTGTCAAGTTGCATGACAAGTCGCATCGGTGTGAACCAGGGCTTAAATAACTACCATGTACACTGTACTAAGTATTTTATTGGACACGTGTAAAGCAAAAACGAATTGACATTTTCTAGTGAGTAAAACCCCTAAAGATTGGTGAAATGTTAATGAAAAGTTAAAAGGTTCACTATTTAGACTAAAACAAAATACTTCAACACATTAGCAACACAAAAGCAATAAATATCAGCAACATAACAAAGCGTGACAAGAGAAAATGGCAGAATGCAGGTCTTCAAAATGCAACAAAAGTCTGTTTTATTGTCCATTTTCAATTTTGGCTGGAAAATTAGAAAGCAAAAAACGACAAGAACTGGCCATTTAAAGATCTCCTGTATAGGTGCATCATTAAACAGAGAGAAAAGTCAACAACTAGTGCTTAGCAGAGGATGCCATAAGGCATGTTTTAAAACAACTGTATTCCTAACTGCAGACAGAAGAGGATGGTTTAACTAAAAAGTGCACGTATCCAAATAAGTTAAGCTGAGAAAAAATTAAATTATATTATAATTAACTGTTACACATACATACATATGTGAGGAAATGTTATAGATTAATGATTTACAAATTATGGATGTATTCAAATAAAATGGATCTTCATATTTTACAGCATTATAAGTTGTCCCAGTCCTTCATCTGTACTTTTCTGTAGGTCTGGCGCAGAAGTCGTGTAATCGAAGGTCTGATTGATATTCCCAGTGCCTGAAAAGAGAATCATATTATTCATTTGCCACACAGATGGTACAGGTGTTGAATGCATCTATGGCATGTTAAGCAAAATTATACTTTTATAAAATAAATTACAGAAGCCATTTTTGTGATCTCTACAGCCTATAACTGGAACTCTAAGACAGCAATGCAGGAAGAACGCCTACTCCAGAAAACCATCCATTTTTTAACAAGCATGTGTTTATAAGAACAGGCAGTTTTTATCCCACCAGCTATAAGACTTTTGAATGGGTAATTATTTTGTCTCATTGCTGTACTGGAAAACATTTGTTAAAGGAGAAGTATGGGAATACAAATAGAACAAATCACACACACTCCCCTTTACATTGCAGCATCGGTGTAATGTTGCAGTTGTACCCTGCTAGCTCCAAAACTGGAAACTGAGCGATTACATGATCGCTAAATCGCTCAATTCTTGGTCTTCTCCGAGCACAGAGCAGTGACCGTCAGTCACCTCTCTGCTCTACCCATTCAGCACTCAACAGAGGATTGGGCAGGACAGGGGGCGGGTGCAGCTGGCATCAACTCTGTTGTGTGCTGGGAGCCAGAGCCAGCTGTCAATTAGGCAGCTGGGTAGATCCCCACAATCTAGTTAGGATTCTTCCAGAACCTGGTGCAGCTTTGTGAACTTTACCCCACTGACAGCTCACTGTGGGTCACAGGAGAGCAAAAGTGCATGCATGCCTGTGAGCAAAAAGAGAAATATGGCCAAAAAAAAAAAAAAAAGCTTTGGTCATAGTTACATAGTTAGTCCATCCAGTTCAACCATTTAAAAAAAAAAAAAAAAAAAAAAAAAAAAAAAAAAAAAAAAAGTTATAATCCTATACCCACAGTTGTTCCATAGGAAGGCAAAAAAATAAAAATAAACCCAGCAAAGTATAATATAATTTGCTCCTGCAGGGAACAAAAAAAAAATTATTTCCTGATCCCCCGAGAGGCAATCTGATATTCCCTGGATCAACTTTACCTATAAATGTTAGTATCCAGTTATATTCTGTATATCTAAGAAACAATCCAGGTATTTTTTAGCGCAATCCACGGAGCTGGCCAGAACCAACTCTTGAGGGAGTCTATTCCACATTCACAGCTCTCGCTGTGAAGAAACCTTTCCGTGTTTGGAGATTAAAGTTCTTCTCCAGACGTAAAGAGTGCCCTCTTGTACTCGGTGTAGAGCCATTCACCCTGAGGTCATCACAGAGTTCACTATATTAACCACTGATGTATTTATACATGTTGATCATATCCCCCTTTAATCTCTTCTCAAGAGAGAATAAATTCAGTTCCTCTAATCTTTCCTCATAGCTGAGCTCCTCTATGCCTCTTAGTTTGGCTGCCCTTCTCTGTACTTTCTCCAGTTTGCAATGTACTTTTTGTGAATTGGTGCCCAAAACTGAACTGCATATTCCAGATGAGGTTTTACTAATGATTTGTACAGGGGTAATATGATCTCTCTCTCTCTGGAGTCTATACCTCTTAATACAAGAGAGGATTTTGCTCACTTTAGAAACCACAGCTTGGCATTGCATGCCATTATTAAGCTTGTGATCTACCAGAACTCCCAGATCCTTCTCCACCATTGATTCCCCCAGTTGTACCCCCCCCCCCAGTATGTATGATGCATGCATATTCTTAGCCCCCAAGTACATAACCTTACATTTATCAACACTAAACCTCATTTGCCACATAGTTGCCCAATTAAACAGTGCATTGAGGTGGGCTTGTAAGTTGAAGACATCCCGTAATAACGTTTTTCCACTACAAAGCTTGGTGTCATCTGCAAAGACTGAAATGGGATTTTTAATCCCAGACCCTAAATCATTTATAAATATATTAAAAAGTAAGGGTCCCAACACTGAACCTTGGGGTACACCACTGACAACCCTAGACCAGAGTATGAATCATTAACCACTACTCTCTGAATACGATTTTTAGCCAGTTTTCTATCCATTTACATACAGATTTTTCCAAGCCTGTAGACTTTACCTTACACATTAGACATGTGTGGGGAACGGTATCAAACACTTTTGCAAAATCCACGTATACCACATCCACCGCTACCCCTCTGTCCAAGGTTTTGCTCACCTCCTCATAAGAAGAAAATCAGATTTGTTTGACAACTTCTGTCTTTCATGAATCTATGCTGTCTGTTGCTTAACATATTTTTTTCCAGCAAGAACTCATCTATGTGGTCTTTTATTAAACTCTCCAGTATCTTCCCAACTATAGAAGTTAAACTAACAGGTCTGTAATTACTTGGTAAAGATTTTGACCCCTAACAGGTCTGTAATTACTTGGTAAAGATTTTGACCCCTTTTGAAATAATGGCACCACATTGGCCTTACACCAATCCAGTGGCACTATGCCAGTCATTAAAGAATCCCTAAAAATTAGAAACAATGGCTTTGAAATGACAGAGCTCAATTCTTTAACTGCCTCCTGCCCGCCCTATAAGGTAATGACAGGTGCAAGATGGTTCTCTCGTTCTGGGAGGACGTCCTCCCACTTTAACTGCACGTGCGCAGCTCCAAGAGCGTGCAGCGATCGGTGATGCGCTGTCTCACAGCGATTAACCAATCGACGGAAAGAGCTGAAGATGACGGCTCGGTCATGTGATCAGCTATGTCCAATCACAGCTGATCGCATGTAAATAGGGAAATGCTGGTTATCGGCATTTCTCTGCTCATGAGCTGTCAAGCTAACAGTCAAGAGGAGAGGGGAGCTGGTAATCAGCATTCCTCAGAGGGGACATCTACACTGATCATCAGGGCAATGATGATCAGTGTGCCCTGATGATCAGTGAAGCCCCAGCAGTGCCACCTGTCAGTGCCCATCAATGCCAGCTGTCAGTGCTCATCAGTGCCTCATCAATTCCACATATCAGAGCCTACCAGTGCACATCAATGCCACATCAATGCCCATCTGAGCTGCCTTTCAGTGCCACCTACTTGAGAAACTAAGAATGGCTAAGTAAATCTCCCAGGTTTTGGGGGGAGTTGAGCATTTTATTAACTTTTTGAATATAAAAAAGAGGGGGTATTGTACTTCCCCACTTAAGTATTTGAGATCTTTTCAATAGCCCTTCCTCTTTTGCCATCAGTATTTTAAAGCAGTTTTTAATCATAGTGGGAAGATGTAGATTTACACGCTAAGTACCTTATCAAAGGGATTGAACACATATCAATAGAGCTCATCTTTTGAGCTCTATCTATTTTTAGGATCTTCGGGGTTATTCACCTCTTCTCTACCTTGGACAGCATAATTCAAACACTTAACACTATAAGTGATATGCTGACTGCATTCATGCCTCTATATATTGCCACAGCTGACAAAAGGTCTATACCTCGATCCAGGACTTGGCAAATGGATGCCTCTTAAACATGGGAGGTGTAGGATAATATGGAGATTTCTAATTTATGTGGCTGAATACCGTGTTGCCAATAAAATTAGAAGGCAATTAGAGACCAGTGGTTCCCCTATGAGTACTATACATACGTATTTTTGGATCTTGTTTTGGCTATTTTCACTAGAGTCTCAAGTTATGTGGCTTTTTATTAGTATAGGAATGCCTCTGTGATGTTTATTACAATTGTTGATAAAATCCAGTAGTTTAGGAGCTGCAAATACTATATGACTTAATAGTGCAAATATTGTCCTAATATTCTGAACTATTTATAGAATAAGTTACTGCAGTCGCTATGACATACAGACATCAGCTTGTACAATGCAAGACAATGTTGTCTTTTTAATATGGGTGAGGTGAAGAGTATTGTGTTTTTTGATTAATATTGATTTTTGATCTAATGCGATAAGACTTTTTAAAAATTTTGAAGCCACCCAAGTCAATTTAGGTAATCACAGCTGTGATCATGGTGATTATGCTGTGACCCATTCTTGTAAAATGAATAGTTCGTGCAGGCACTACGCCTCCCAGCCAGTCACAGAATGCTTCTGGCACATATCCACTGTTCAAGCACAGTTTACATCTTGCCTCGAAATAGACTATGGAAGCAGCGTCACCTGTAAACCCACCCCGCATTCAGTAACAGTTGCTTGGTCATATGAAAACTTTAACCTCGTAAAAAAGGTAAGAATCTCTGTGAAGCCAAAAATGGAAAAAAAAAAAAAAAAAAAAAAAAACTGCTTAATTTCAAACTACCCAATACAGGCATGCCGTGTATGTGCGCACAGTGCCCTGTACTGAGTGGCCAGGCAAAGAATGCAAACTGACCATGCAAGCACAGATCAACTTAGAACATGGAAGAAAGACCGCTGGCAGAATCAACCATTTACTTCAGATGGAATATCTACATGATAAAGACTAAGATTTACAAAAAAAACACGTGAACGCAAATAAAAAAATAAAAAAAAAAAAAAAAAAAAAAAAACGCTAACAAAACCTGTGTTAGGGATTTTACAGTGAGAAAAAAAACCCTCCTCTGGGTTTGACAGGCACAGTCTATTTATTGTCTAGATTATAAGGTTAAAACCACAGGATTAGGACACTAGGTAGAACAAAAAAAAAAAAAAAGAAAAAAAGCTGAGCATTGAGCTATGGGCAGTCCCAGCTGGTAATAACCCCCTCCCTGCTATTAGCAGCTCAGTCACAAAGCAGTACCATAAGAAAACAGGGGTGGGAAGAGTGTCTGTTAATGAACAGAGAGGTATTTTACAGTGAGGAAAAAAAATACTGGTTTCTCTTTTGTTCTTTAACACAGCCTTTTCATATCCTTGATCATAGGGATGTCCCAAAGCAGTGTCAATGAGAGGTAGAAAACCAGGAATAATATGCAGCCACCACCATGAACCCCCCAGAAGAGGAACCTGAACCTCAAAACATCGGTCTGCAAAACCTTGCAGCTAACACACACAGGATGCTCAAACATCAACTTTGCATAACATGGTAAAAGGGTTTCACAGGCGACGAGGCAGCCACCTTGGAAACTTGAGACACAGACGCATGATATTGAAATCCCAAGAAGCACCAAATGCCCTAGTAGAGAGTGCCTTGATGGGGAAGGAAGGAGCCCAACTCTTAGTGGTGTAAACCTGAACAACCGTGTCCCTGATCCAGTGAGTAATCATGGTAGAGGAGGCCACCAGACCCTTTTGTGGGCCACTCAATCACAGAGAATCCAACCTCTAGAAGAAAGCCATAGCAGACAGATACGTATAAACTGGCCAGACCACATCCAGAGGGTGCAGCACAATCTCCTTAGGAAGTGAAGGGTGCAGACACAAGAAAGGCAGAACAATGTCCTCATGCAGGTGAAATTTAGACACCACCTTCGGTGAGGAGGGACGAGGACAGAGAAACACCTCATCACCATATAAAACCCCAAAGGGAGGCTTAAAGAACAAGACTGCCAGCTCTGACACACAATGTGTGGAAGTGATAGCAACCAAAACAGCGGCCTTCTAGAAGAGAACAAGGGAATATCCCTAATGTTCTCAAATGGGGGCTTCTGAAAAGCTGACAGATCCAGATTCAGGGCCGATTATGGCAATGGAGACCTCCATGAAGGACCGCCTCATGTCAAACATTTTGAATGAAAGGACAAACCTAAGGGGTGTGTGGCCAGAAAGTTGCAAGAGCAGAAGCCTTACCATTATGATAGTCAAGGTAATTCCCTGCTCTATTTCCCTGTTGAAGGCAGGCCAAAAAAACCATGTTACCAAGAAGGAACACAGGTGCAAGCTCACAGCCTCATATCAAGAAAAGTAGGCCTTCCAGGTATGATAAATCCTCCTATAGGTGTACTTACACACCCTCAGCACGGTGGGGGTCACCGAGCCCAATGACCCCCTATCTTCCAGAACGTGATTTTTTTGATAGTCAAGCCAAGACGGTGAAAGACTGGTCCTTGGGACAGGAGATGATCGCACAAGAACAGCCGCCATGGAACGTTTACAACAAACCTTACCACATCAGCATACCAGGGTCTCTGAGGCCAGACCACATCCACCAGTATCCCATTAGCCTGTGCAGCAAGTGAGGGAGCAGCTGGAGAGGAGGAAACGCAGAAATTAGCAGATAATTACTCCACCAGTACATCGGTCGCATCCACCAGTGTCCCTCGGTCTTGCCACGAACCTCAACACCTTTCTGTTGAGACGGGAGACCAGCAGAACCGAGATGCTCCACCACAGCAGAGTGAGAAAACGCATGGAGTTCCATCCACCAGAGAATGAGCAAGACCTCCTGTGCCACAGTTGAACACCTTGTCCCCGCCCTGGTGATTGTCACAGGCCACAGCAATGGCATTGTCTGATTAGATCCTGACTGGGAGCCCTCGAAGTAGCTCTGACAGCCGAGATTCTGGTGTCAGAACAGCCGTGAGCCTAGAATGAGACCTGTGCCCTAGAATGACCACTACTTACCCACCCGCCTACAGATGAAAGGTAATCTTCCCATCTGTAAGGTTCTGAATAATGTCATCCAGGGTGACATCAAAGAGCTACTCACTCTGAAAGTTGAAATTGTCCAAGGCTTTCTTCAAACGTTTGGTCCTTTGACCAACACTTAAGCCAGAGAACCCAGCAAAGATGGAACGCTTGGAAAACAGAGGGGTTGCATCCAAGGACACATCACACACAAAGTATTTGAGGCCCTAGACCAGTTGGTCTGCCAGTTACACAAAAATTGGAGACACCTGCCCCTTGTCCAGCCCTTGGCCCATTCAAGGAGAGTCTGAGAAATCAGGGTCACGGCCAGACTCTGGCTCAGAAGCAACCTAGGATGAAGGCAGGGCACGGGACATTTCTCATTTGCCTCGTGCCTGAACCCCACTTCCACACAGGAGAAAAAAAACTACAATGACTGCAGATAATGCATCCAAGGGAATGGAGGACCCAGGAGTACCCTGTGGCTTCCATGTGGAGATCTTGAGTGAATGCATGTTCCCATAGCTATATAAAAAGGCCAACCCAGATCAGGCATTTCCAGGACAAACTCCCATGGGAAGGAGACAAACAAGAATATGAAGAGGATGTGTCAGTCAATAAAACTAAAGACAAAAAAAAAAAAAAAAAATATTTGGAGTAACATACTCCATAATGCAGGGCCTCGACAAACTTCAGGCGCTAGGCCACCACAGCAAGTAGAAAATACATCCTGGAGCCTGGGTTCACACACTGCCTGCCATCAACTTCAATTCAAAAACAGCTCCCATTGACTTAAATTCAAAAACACCTGTCAATAGCAATCCTATGCAAACATTTATCTCCACATGCCACTCTACCACTTGTAAGTCTGGAACGCACAACTAAAAACTCGCACAGGACACTTTTCGTAATGGCACTCAAAATGCAATGTGCGTGGATCACATCTGCGTGAACCACCTCAATAGGAACACAACATCTATCCCAGGGGTGGGCAAACTTTTTGACTTGAGGGCCGCAATGGGTTCATATACTGGAGCCGGGGGCCGGACCAAGAGTAGATGAATGATGTGTATGTGTCATCCATAGTAAGTATAGTAATATTCCCCCATAGTAAGCATAGTAATTAATCCCCCATATAGTAATTCATCCCCCATAGTAATTCATCCCCATATAGTAATTCATTCCCCATATAGTAATTCATTCCCCCATATAGTATTTCATCCCCCATAGTACTATTTCCCCCCAAGTAGTAAGCCAAGTCCCCCCTGTGTCAATTTACTTACCTTTGCTCCGCGCGTTCCTCTCGCCGTGTTCCCCGCGCCGTTCCGGTCTTCAGGGCGGACTGTGAGAGGAGCCTAGCTCCCCTCACGTTCGTCACGCTGCCCCACCTACACACATCCTGACAGCCATCCTGACAGTATCACGCTCCACGGGCCGGATTAAAAGGTCCGCCGGGCCGTATACGGCCCGCGGGCCGTAGTTTGCCCATTGCTGATCTAGCCTGTAATGCAAATCTCTGCATTTCAAAACGCATTCAGAATGTGTGAACCAGGGAAGCTCTATTCACAGCTTGGCGTTTTGGGAATGCAGCAGAATCACTGATTGCAAGACGAAGGTTCAAGTGCCATTATTTTCAATTGCACCTAAAACAGTGCAGTTTTGCCGTGATTGTCGGGCAGCGAATTGCATCGCATACTACCCAAAAAAAAAACCCAAAAAAACAAAACAAAAAAAAAAAAAAAAAACACCTGGCTCCTAACTTTTGTAGCGGGCTCCTAGGTTCAAAGCAGATTTGTCAAGCTCTGAATTAAAGCACAAGTTCACCTTTCATAACATGTTACACCCTCATTCATAGTGTAACATGTAATGAAAGCACCAGCCCATCTACCCTGGTGCACCTGATCTCTACAGAAGTTGCTCTTGCAGCCATCCAGTCCTTCCTTATCAGGAACCAGAGGGTCTCCCATTGACTACGGCTTATGGTGAACGTCTTGCCCCGATTGTGTCCTTTTTGTATACACAGTGTATATCTGTGGGAGTACGCTTTTCCTCCATGAGCCTCGCTCATAGTCCCAATTTAGAAATTACCCAAAGACTCTCACTGTCAGACTTAATCGATTGCTACTTTCTGTGATTGAGTCAGACCAAACGGCGATCGTGGCCCATAAATCTAAAGATATTAATTTGCATAGATTAAACACCAATATTTATACCCAATATTCCAATGCAGGTTCCAGGGTGGTTGCCTCTCTCAGTATTGAGAAGGCATTTGATACAGTTGAGTAGCCTTGCTTGTGGGAAGTCCTCTGGAGGATTGGGTTTCCCTTAAGTTTCATCAGCTGGTTGAAGACTATTTATGGTTGCCCTACAGCTGCTATTAGATTAAGGAGCGGTTTGTCTGCTTCCTTTGTTACACATAGGCGTACTCGGCAGGGCTACCCTTTTTGCCATAGCTATGGAGCCAGTGGCCAAAGCTCTCCGAGTCTCTTCCTATATCAAAAGGTCTTGCAGGAGGAGAAGGTGGCCTTGTACACAGAGGAGTACCTACTATTTCTCAGCGACGCAGGACCTTTACCACAAAGGGCTCTTCAGGTACTAAATTCCTATTCTTTAGTTGCAGGGCTCGAGGTGAACTGGACTAAACTCTGATTAATCTGTTATTCCTGACTGACCCTGATGCGCACCACATGGCCCCAGCCAACAGAGTTGCAATGTGCAGAGAAGTTTAAAGTGTTGCTAAACCCAGGACCATGCATTCACTATATCTGGTCTCCTATAGTACACAGAACATGGAAATGCAATTATTTTAGTAAATATAAACGGCTAAATATCTTTTTTCATCAGCAGTATATAGCAGTCTTGTGACTTATATGAGTGTCCAGCTGAGCACTGGTTAACGCTTGTAGGAAGAGTTTTCATTCTCCTCTGTTTGCATGATGTGACCCCTGACCCTTTATCTGGACAGTGCCGATTGGCCCTGTGCTGATCATATGCACCCTCCCAAAAGGGAAAAAAAAACAAAAAGCCCCCACACATCTCTAGTAATACAGACCAAACAGAGCATGTGCAGCTTGCCCCCAAGGAATTGTTCTATCAGTAAAAGAAGGGGGAGGGGGATAAGAGAAAACCTGATCAAAAAGCCATCCCCGCCAGGAGAACACCGTTATTACTGCTAGCGGCTATAATAGCAGCTGATAATCACATGCAAAAATCCAACAGGCTGGTTGTCCCCAAGTTGTACAACAATCGAATAGGTAACAATCAGTCTGCCCAAAGATGGTTTTAATCTCAGCTGGTCCCTTCTGAACCAGCTGGAATGCGAACCATCTTCTGCCAGCTTAAGTGTTTCAAGTAATGCTCTTACCTGCTATTCAGCTTCTGAGTTGATAACTTACAGTCCCTGCAAGGGCCATTTACTTTTGCCTTTGTATTAATTTTTTATTAATGCTTGACTAAGGAAGAAAGACAATTTTTTTTTTCTTCAATAAAAGATTACCTTGTGATTCAAAAACATCTGGGAAGTCCTCCGTGGTCCTGGCACGTACATTATCTTCACAGGGAGAGAAAGAGATGAGCTGCGGAAGTGACAGCTTTCTGTCTCTGGGTGATGGAGTGTTGAGATACTTCAAATCCAATGTCAGTCCTTTATCTAAGGGGCTGAAGACACTGCCAGTCTCCGCTGGAAGGCTGGATTCAGATTTTTGCTTGGCAACCCTGCTTAAAGGGGTGTGCTCTACAATACTTTTTTCCTCTGTTAAAGACATAAAGGTCCTTTTCAGAGCTTCATATCTAGTACGTATAGAATTTATGTCAATGTTACGCTCCACAGGTTCCCAGCCACCCTCTCTATCTGAGGGGCACTCACTACTTTCTACTCTGGTGCTGTACCTATCTACCTCCGGAGTCTGTGCACTAGTTGTGCTGTTAAGACTCATGTTCCCATCTTCTGGGATAGTTTCTTGTAGTATGCCAAACTGGATCACATCATGGCTCTCTGAACTGATGTTAAAGTCCATTGCTTTTGAAGAGTTCCATGAAAGAGTAGAATGTGCAGAAGCATTTTCTTGACTAGGCGCATGAATAATCATTGTGCTGTCTTTCAATTCATCAACTTGTTGGTCATCAAAAATAAAAGTATGATTCTTGTCTCCAACTGCAAACGGCAACATTTGTGCTCTCACATATTCCTTTAATGGAGTACATTTTTCTTGCTCAATTTCGTTAGCCAAAGAGGGTGTCAAGTTCTGACTCAAGGCTGCTCTTTCAGGAGGATCTGGTTTTCCAGTGCTCAAAGACATCCTTTGGTCTGGTGACTCATTATGCTCAGACAAATGAGAAGCAGACAGGAAGCAAGCCATACTCAGGTCCACCAGGCTGCAGTGAGTGGACTCTTGCTCTACAGGAGATTCTACATATGGGTCTTCCACTGGACTGGATACATTGCAAAATTCTTCTGTCTGGATGGCTTTTCGCCAGGATGTTCGAATATCTGAAACTGTACAACAAAAAGCTTACTACACAAAGAACTTCACTGTACCTCCCCTGCATCCTGTAATGTATAATCAATTTGAAAAAAAAAAAAAAAATTCAATGGCAAGGTGGAAAATGAATCGGCCAATCTGATCCACGTTGTTCAGCAAGAAGAGGGAATCAACTGATTCTTGCTTGCTCAGCATGCAGGGTGAATTCAACCCTGACAGTGAACTGAGGAGAACTGATTCCAAAAGTGTTTAGTGAAGAACAGTGTTTCTTGAGACCTAACATGGATCTGTGTTTGAGCCTGACCACTGCGAAGAGAAGCAATAGTGTATGGTCTATGTTGGTGTGTGGTTTTTTTGTTTTTTTTAACTGTACTAACACTAACATGGGCAGGTGTCTGGGGAGTGTCATCAGGCCTTATCAGTATGCACAGTAACCAGAAAATATATAATTTTTTTTATAAAATTACCATTAAAATTGCCTTTTTTTTATAGAATTACACAATACTCAATTTATATATAATATTGTTTCTAGGTTATGTTAAGCTTCAAACTCTAAGCTGCAAATGACAAAATAATAGAAATAATAGTACTTGTCCTACAGGATGCATGTGGTACATATTTCTAGGTTTAAAAAGTTTTCTAACCCATGAAGATATTCTCTAAAGCATGCAGTTAAAATCTCTCTTCTTAGATGTACATTTTTCTAGGTACAGTATTCCGTTATTATATAGTTATTTGTAGACTATAATGAGTTAAATTGTATTATTCAATAAATCTATAAAATGAACTTACTCAAGTTCTCTGGAGTGCGAGGAATCTCTTTTCTAGATAAGAAAGGATCAGAAGACAGCATGCCAAGCAAATCATCAAGCTCCATTCCACGTCCCAACTGAGATTTTGGGGTTTCATTAACAATGTAATCAGCAACCTGAGAAAAGGGTAATTACAAAACATTAAAAAACAGGCATAAACACACAAATTAGGATCTTGCCAAATATCTGTCACTTTGTGCAGTGCATTTAGAGCAGCAGATATATTCACTATGCTCCCCCCACTAATCCATCTGAGCCCTAAAACCCTGTCAGAGGTGGGGGAGAAGCAAGTGTTTAAAAGGATAAGTTAACCTTTGTTAAAAGAAAACACAAAAAAAAAAAAAAAAAGTGCTTTTTTTGTAACTGCAGCCCGTAAAAAAATGCACGCATGATCAGATCATGGGTGCCATGCCAAGATCATTTTAAAGATGTGTCAGCTGTCTCCCCATCTCTCCAGTACGGGCATACAGTTACTGACCTGCAGAAGAATCAATTATCTACACCGGCGGTCTCCAAACTGCGGCCCAAGGGCCGGATGTGGCCCTTTGCTTCATTTTATCTGGCTCTTGGGACATTATTCCCTCACTGTCAGCAACAGTGGGGTATAGTTCCTGCCACTGACACCAATGATGGGGCACTATCCCTCCCACTGCCACCAGTCATGGGGCATTTTTTACTGCCACCAGTCATGGGGCATTTGTTACTGCCACCAAACTTTCGAAACAAATGTCCGGTTTACTGTTCTTCCGATTTTAGGGGGGCTGGACTGTGGCCATCGGGAGTATAAAATGTCCCAGCATCAGTGGAAGTAAACAATCTCCAGTCATTGGGAGAAACTGTGTCCCATCAGTGTCATTCCTTGAGCCCCATCATTGCTGTCATTGGTAGGACTTGTGGCCCTCATTGGTGCCAGTGAAGGAAATAGTAGTCCAAGGGCCAAATAAAAGCAAGCAAAGGGCCGCATCCAGCTCCTGGACCGTAGTTTGGAGACCACTAGTTTATATAAAGAGAAGGGAAGGGGATGTGGGAAGGAGTGTAAAAGTGGGTACAGGGGTGAGCTTCCAAAAGAATTGTTGACCATTTACATAATATGAAGAAAAAAGGAAACCTTTGAACAAAATAACACATGTAGCTTTAGTATACTGTAAAAAGAGAAACAAATCCCAAATAAAATGGTCAACCTTTATCAAAGCATTAACGCGTTTGCGCTACATTTGTCCTAACCCTACCCCACTGCATAAGTCCTCAGTTTAGTAACAAGCAATGCAGAATAACACAGGAACAGCGGGAAGGTTGACGTGTCCTGTACCGTACTCCAAGATATGGCATTTACAGGCAAGTCAAAATTCATTATAGGTTAATCATAAAGTACAGGACAAAAGGCCCTGGGACATACCTTAACAATAAAAAGGTTTGGCAACAACAAGGCAAACTTAACTGTCGACAGGCCCAATAATAAATAAGAGTCAATAAACCCAACTTGGCAAGAACCTTGCAGCTGAAAGCTGCATCCACACATGATTGGAAGTTCACATGGTAGATCTTTGAAAAAATATGAAGAGAAGACCAGACAAAGCTGGGCAACAGAGGCTTGCTGTAAGAATGCCCAGGAAACTCGCACTGATCTGGTGAGCACATATAGGAGGAGAAGGTACTTTATCTTTAGGTGGATAAGACCACTCATTTGAAGAGCTTACACCAAATTGATAGTGGACTTTGAAGCAGGATGTCCCTTGAGAGGTCCTAATGGCAGGACAAATAGGGAGCTCAACTCCCTGATAGATGCTTTAGCTTCGAGGTAGACAAAGACTGATCTTCACTGTCTGGATGTGGTCAGAGACCACACTTTTGGGTGCTTTGGGGAATGGCACAAGAGGGAAGGATTACATCCTTAGTGAGGTGGAAGGCCGACACTACCCTAGGAGAGTCTTGAACCCAAGACTAACTTATCCTCGTAAAGAATAGCTTATAAGACAGAACTGCTAACTCAGAGACCCATCTGAAAGATGTGTTAGCCATCAAGAAAGCCATCTTGCAGGAAAGATCATCTAAGGGGAGTTCCATGATAGATTCAAAGATTAGTTTCTGCAGGGCACAGAGAAACAAACAGATCCCAAGGAAGAGTTGTAAGGGTGGTTTGATAGGAGAAAACACCTTAAAAATGGTCCCTTATCCCCATCGCTGCCAGGCCCTGCACTCCACTTTTAAACTGCAGACCATTTTTTGCAATGTTTCCATTGCATTTTTATTTTTCCGAGTCTGTAAAAGACCCCACTCAACTATATATTTTCTGAAAGCACAGGATCAGTAGAAAACAAAGAAGGTGCTACTGATTTTTAAGGCCCTGCAATATTTGCACAAAATGTTTATCAAATCACTATTTACACAATCCAACAAGGATAGATCTGACATCAGTGCGGGTGTAGGTGCATGGACCCAAACACAGACATTGCGAGTTCAGAAAAACACACCCACATGGATGTCAAGTTGGGAGTAGTGACTGTGTCCACGTAGCCACTGTGTCTGAAATTAATATCACTGGTACTGCCTGCACAGGAATGCACAGAACACCTATGCATTCCCGTGCAGCTGCTGTGTTTCAATTGACACGGTCTCCCAGTAGCATGCCCTGTGTGAACATGGCCTTGTTTACACTTGCGGTTGGGGGGGGGGCAGTAGAAATGTGCAGCTGAGCTGCATTTCTGGTGCCCGACAACCGAACCCCTTAAGCTACAATAGGCAGGGGACAGGGGTGTTAACATTGGAGTCCACTGCATTGACGCAGGAACGGTGAGGGGTCCAAGCAGCAGGGAGGCTCAGTGGGAGCAGAGAAGCCAGTAATTTCAGAGGGTGAGAGGCAGAGAAGAAGTGGCAGTCGGAGGTCACATTTTAGGTTAGGTCACTGAGGTGACCATAAGCTTATAGCAAAAGGACAGACATGGCCAGCTGGGAGCAGTGCTGTAGGTCCACACGCCATACGGACCTGGCAGCAAAAGGGATAAGAGTACTTAGGGCCAAGCCCCAATTCAAAGAAAGGCCAGAACAAGAGGCACAGAGTGATCTCTGGCATTGAACTGCCTGTGTATACACCAGGCAAAGGAGGATTTCCAGGTACAATAGTAGATCTTCTTTCTGGAAGAGGCTCGCTTTGCTTTTAGCAATGTGGGAACGAGAGACTCAGACACTTTGTCTCTCAAGACCAGGATGTCAACAGCCATGCTGGTAAAGTCAGTAACTGAGAAGCAGGATGGAACATGAAGCCTTGTGATAGAAAGTCTGACCTGTTTAACTGGCTTCCAGGAAACCACTCCTGGCTGCTTTCAAAGTATGACGGTGTACCAAGATCTTCTCAACCAAGATTACATTCCAGGGCCACCATCCAACGCTTACAGAAATTCAAAGTTCAATGTTTCTGTTTACAGAAATTCAAAGTCAAGCTTAGGAAGAAAAATGTAGCCAGGAAAAAAAAAAACAAAAAAAAGTAAGCAGCATCCTCCTGGGACACCAGGAATAAATTGAAGAATTCTGGCAGTAGAATGGGTTATTTGCCAATGTTCATTCATCTTGTAGGCGACAGTATAATCCAACAGCCTCTTTATTCCTGTGACCCTCAATGGACAAGAAGGACGTTTAGAGCTATTTGTATGCCAAAGCACCTTGTAATGCAGTTAGCAGAAAAGGACCACAAACCTGCTGTGCAAGCTGTAAGCGTGCTGCACCCATGGCATCCTGTTTACAAGGTGTTGGGGTATATGGCAGTTTGCTACTTGGTGTAGGTTTCCAAGTCACATCCGACCTTCTCTTATGCAAAGAATTTGGCGTCCTTTGCAAAAACCTCTCTTTAATGGCAGATGTTGGTGTTCTAAAGTCCTAAAGATAGATAAGAAAAAAATAAATAAATAAATTATAAATTAGGGTTAGTTCGTCCCATCACTTATATCCCCCTTTTTAGAAACCACCTAATCTCCCATCGTAATCTCAGTCAACTGAGAGAAATGCATATGGGACTTTAAATGTGCCTTGCAGAGAAAATTCAATGCATATATTTAATAACCTTTATTACAAAAACAGCAACTAAAAACATAAGACTTACTTAAAATCATCATACAATATCACCATGGTTAAACATTAGCGTAGACTTTCATGTATGCGACTGTCCCATTTGAGGCATAAAGGATTGTCATGTTGCATGATAAACTAGCTTCCTCGGGACTCGCGCCCAGCGCAAGCAAGATATATATCTCATAGAAACTTGACTACATGAATCATTGATATAATCCATTCTAAAACAAAAAGAAAACAAACAAAAAACCCAAAAAAGGAAACCTTCCTACCTTAATCCCTGGCCGAGTAAATGCCAACATGCTGGGATTACCCTGCACCAACAATAACCCGCAAAGGGGAGTAGACTAACTGCCCATAATGGGCAAATTCATGTGACAAAGCAATGCCAGCTATGTATAATCTTTCAATTCACCAGCCAGTAGAGGATACAGAGGAGTACCCTTCAAGGCTTCAAACAAAAGGGGAAAACTCAAGTCACTCCACATGATCTCACTTTACTAAATTATATGATATATTGTACATATGTAAGAGTTAAGTACCCACATGGGGTTAACAGCCAGCAAAATCACATCTTAAGACCTTTCACCTAGTGTTGACCCAGTCTGACACGCAATGAAGAGGTTCCTCTTCCTCTCCATGATTTGTCTAATCAGGAAGTATTGTAGGATGGTTTTTTTTTCCTTTTTTAATATACTTGTATGTTTAAGATTTTCTTTTTGGTATGGATCATATAATGTATTTCTGTAATATATCTATCTCGTAGAAATGGATCATCTAACTTGTATTCATTAGGCGTGGATCCCGAGGAAGCAATTACAAAACGTATTGAACCTTCAAGCCACAAACTGGGACAGTCACATACATCAATGTCTACTGTACTCCAATGTTTGCATTAAATTTTCTCTGAAATGCATATTGAAACTTCACGTCTCTCATCTGACTGTGGTTGGGATGGGAGATTCAGTGGTTCATAAAATAAATTGTAAGCAATTAAACTGATCAGTCATTAGAAAAAAAATGATTTTGTTTTAAATATAAATTCACTAAACTTAGTAATCAAAATGGAATTACATAAGTAACCCTTAAAACATTAGCCATATTTTCTATTCATATCTGTGGGTTATGAATTTATATAGGAAATGGTCAACTTTCAAAACAGTCAGAACACCTTGAGTTAAGAATAAAACAGCATGAACCATTGCTAAAAGATAGCAGCACCCACATAATATGAACATATAAAAACAACTGTCTGAAGTTGCACAGCTGCATCAATACAAACACCTCTGCTTACCAGGCAATGTGTATTTGTAAATCCTTTGGGTTTACATTTGCCCATGAAATGCAATTATATGCTATATACATTACAGCAATTAAAAATACACAATGGAACATTTTGTATGCTGTGTTTTGGCTTGACAACTTGTAGCTGCATTTAGGACTACTAAAGTAATTCTAAAAGGATATAATTAAAATAAAGTCAAAACATGTCATACTTACATGCTCTGTGCAATGGTTTACACAGAGCAGCCCCAATTCTCTTTTTGGGTCCCCTGATGGCAGTCCTGACTCCACCCCCAGTAAAGTGGGCCCAATAGAAAGCCTCTTGCTATGGGGAAACAAGCAGGCTCGCTCCAGAGCAACGCTCCTGTGAATTTACATTTTCCATTCACACACAGAGCTTCACTTGGCCCCATCTCCCGCTCACTCCCCATGGTCTCCCTGGCTGTGATCAACAGTAAGATGTGCCAGAACACAACGTCAGAAGTGAAGTAATGTATTATATTACTCTGTTATCATACAAGAAACATTTTTGGATAGTTTTGTATGAAAGCTATGTACCAATGATTGCTCGAAAGTGGTATTTTTTTGATTGATTTTCTCGTGTGTACTAGGTGGTAAAATACCTTCTGGCTTTGGAATCCATTTAAGGCAGATCTCAACTCAAATTTATGAGATAAAAGTAAATGTAGACAAGAAACTGCTGTCAATGTCCCAGGGCATAGTTTATCAGGTGATTATCTGGCACTGTCAGTGCTCATCACAGCTAAATAGATAAACTCACAACAAGCATATGTATAAAGCCGTGAATGTGATATTTACCAATCACTCATTGCAGGTGAATCTCTTGTCCTAAATTGCAGTGAGTGATTCACTGCATATGAATTGACTGGTGAATATACCGACTGAATAAACACTATATTGACAAAAGTTTTAGGACACCTTTTCAATCTACACTGCCAGTGCACCAGACACACTACTAAATTGCCAAAAGTACTGGGATGCCCCTCCAAATCATTGGATTCAGGTGTTCCAATCACCTCCACAGCCACGGGTGTATAAAATCAAGCACCTAGGCATGCAGACTGCTTCTACAAACATTTGTGAAAGAATGGGTCACTCTCAGGAGCTCAGTGAATTCAAGTGTGGTACCGTGATAGGTTGTCACCTGTGCAATAAGTCCATTTGTGAAATTGCCTTGCTACTAAATATTCCACAGTCAACTGTTATTGGTATTATAACAAAGTGGAAGCAAATTGGAACAGCAGCAACTCAGCCACAAAGTGGTAGGCCACATAAAACGACAGAGTGGGGTCAGTGTATGCTGAAGCACACAGTGCACAGAAGTCGACAACTGTCTGCAGAATCAATAAAGACCTCCAAACTCCGGGTGGCCTTCAGATTAGCACAACAGTGCATAGAGATCTTTATTGAATGGGTTTTCATGGCAAAGCAGCTGCATCCAAGCCTTACATCACCAAGTGCAATGCAAAGCGTCGGATGTAGTGGTGTAAAGCACACTGCCACTGGACTATAGAGCAGTGGAGACATGTTCTCTGGAATAACGAATCACACTTCTGTCTGGCAATCCAATGGACGTGTCTGGGATTGGAGGTTGCCAGGAGAACAGTACTTGCCTCACTGCATTGTGCCAAGTGTAAAGTTTGGTGGAGGGGAAATTAAGGTGTCAGCATACCAAGACATTTTGGACAGTTTCATGCTCCTAACTTTGTGGAAACCATTTGAAGATGGCCCCTTCCTGTTCCAACATGACTGCGCACTAGTGCACAAAGCAAGGTCCATAAAGACATGGATGAGTGAGTTTGGGGTGGAGGAATTGGATTGGCCTGTACACAATCCTGACCTCATCAGGAATCCTTGCTTGATCTCACAAATGAGCTTCTGGAAGAATGGTCAAACATTCCCATAGAAACACTACTAAACCTTGTGGACCGCCTTCCCAGAAGAGTTGAAGCTGTTATAGATGCAAAGGGTGGGTCAACTCAATATAGAACCCTACGGACAAAGACTGGGATGGCATGTGCATGTAAAAGGCAGGGTTCCCAATACTTTTGTCAATATATAGTGTATATTCCACAAAAACTTTAATAAACTTACTTGCAGGCTGCAACAACTTGATTCTTCACTATGGCATAAAAAAATTAGGCAAGAGGGACCAAGAGTTTTAAGTATCTAAACAAAGCATAGGAAAAATTTCCAACACCAACCGACTGCTCGAAGTCTTGCTATTGCTTTCCATCTGAAGAACTTACCTGTCACATCTTTGCTCAGGTCACCTTCTCCTTTGCACTTTAAAAAAAGGTCCTTTTTGTCTTTGTGCAGCAAATAGGACTTCTATACATAGATGCGCAAGAAGATTTAGGCACACTGAGAGAGTGCAAAGTTTTCTCTGAATGGTGCCCATGCTGGGCAGTGTCCCCTGGGTTCACTATGCAGCAGGGCAGCCACTCAGCAAGGGACCCAGAAGTTAGCAGCAATCTCTGTTTTAAGGGGAGGAAGAGAGGAACAAGGAATGCAAAGTCACACACCAACAGTAAGGCAGCCGATACATTATTCTCTAGGTTGATGGAGGAATCACACCCACTGTACAATTATGTTATGATAGCAGGGAATTTTTCCCACCAACAGAACACACTCATCAGTGCTGCCACTTATAGGCTGTGGCACTGATTGATTGGGAAAAACTCGATAGGCTGGTTGTACAGGCGTTTATCAATAGATCAACTTCTGTACAACTTCTGCTACCTGCTGAATTGGCCAAATTTCAATTCATGTACGGTAAGCCTTTTGCATTGTTTTTTTCTTTGATATGATGCTTGGGGGCTGTGCAAGGGGGAAGGGGATGTCAAGGGAATCTACTATAAAAAGGTACAGGAGCTGTATAGTTCACTATCTTTACTTGCAACTTTTTCTTTTAGCAAACAATAGAAAATGTAACTTATTCAACTGCTCTAATAAAGGTCTTACCATCTCATTTAAGGACATTCTGCGTTGAATAGGAGTCACTTTCCGATTTGGTAATGACGTTCTGTAACAAGATATTTTAAGAAATTGACAGAGCTCAAGAAAACAAAAAATTACTTGCTTCTGTTCTTTCACTACATCTTCTCAGCTATCATAAAGGGAAATGAATTTCAGAAACTGCACTACATTCAGATTTTTTTCCCCCCAAATTCATAGGTTTATTAAAAAAAAAAAAAAAAAAAAAAAAAAAAAGTAAGTGTTTAAGTAAAAGTAAAAGAAATAAAAATCAGACTTCAAATGAATAAACAAGGCACATCAGCTATTTTGTCTAGTAACAAAACCATGGGCAGCGTAGACCACATATCTAGCTACCAAGAACGTTGTTAACTTCCATTTTGTGAAAAACAGCAATGAGTCTATTGGCATCAAACAGACCCTGGCTGACTTGCAGCGAGGTAAAAGAATCAGTAAGAACCAGGAAACAGAGTCTGCATATTTAATGAACAAATGGGCTGCTCCCACATACAGATGAAAATTACAAGCTATACACAAACAAGATTTTAAAATTCCTACAGTGGACATTTTGGAGTTTTGCTTCCTGAAAAACGTTTGGCGATTATGATAGACTCCTTATTGAACACAACTTATTTCAGATGGACTGCATCACAAAGAAATTGAGAAATCTGAAACTTTTAATGACTGTATTGTAATTAATCACATAAGGTTTCCAACATGCTGTATGACAAATAGGGCTAAAGTGTTTTTGCTGCCGATTTTCATTTGTACCCAGTGTCTGGATACAGCATAGCCAACAGGTATTGCAATTTGAAAAAAACAGAAGATTTCTATAAAATGGTACACAATAGGATAAAAGATAAGTTCACATTTTGACAAATTTAAATGAACATTTTTTTTGCTTAAAAAAATGTGCATTTATTATTTTTGTTGCAGGAGCCTGAAAAGCATTGCCATGTAGGTTTCCTGCAGACCTGTCAGTATATCTGCTTGCCCATATGGGCAAGCAGATATACTGATGGGAAGAATCAATGAACTACCGCATCGCTTTGGTAGTTCATTGAGAACTACAAGCTGTCGGCTGCTAAGGCTGTCGGAACTTGTAGTTCATTCATTCACTGAACTCCGTGAATGAATGACGTGTAGGTGGAGCCCCGAACGGCTATGCCATTTTTAAAAAGTGACAGCTAGTACTAGGAGCTTCTAGAAATAAAGAGTGTTCCTTACAAGACTGCCAATTCAAAATATAGAACAAAAGAAAAAACCCACCACAAACAAATTCAGCCACCACAAATAGGGAGAGGCACGTATTCAATTTTTGTTATTGGGTTTAGATACACTTTAATAGAAAAGATGAGGACAGGGAACAGTAAAATATAAATGAAACTGCACTTTAATAAAACTGTACCTTATGTATGCTTACCTGCCCCTTGGTGTAAATAATGTGGCATCCATGAAACTTGTAAAGGAATCATTGGGAGCTTTCTCTATGATTTCTGAATCTTTGTCAGACAGATCTGTAATTAAAATAAACATTTAAATACGCATAGAAGTGCAATTAAATTATTTGCATAATTAATGTTAAATGTGCATATATGCATTATAGTTAGTCTCACAACAGAGCCTGCAGGGCAAAAAGGGTCAAGAGAATTTTTCTTTTTCCATTCTTTTCTGAAACTATCACCATCTTGTACCATGCATGATTTTAATATCATAGGTAGCAACTGAGAAGATATTACAGTGTTATGTTATCAGCACCAACAGCTGATGCATGCAGAACATGTATTGATTGGTAGGGAAAGACAGAAGAAAAGAAAAACAAAGACAAAATTATCTCTCAGAGTGTAAGCTCCAAGGAGCAGGGCCCTCCTAACCATCTTGTATTGAACTGTATTGTCTTCCTTTATATTGTAAAGCGCTGAGCAAACTGTTGGCTCTATATAAATCCTGTATAATAATAATAATTATTGATGAATAGACACAAGTACATTATGCTATGCTTTATAGCTTATATAAATCACTGTGGTCCTACCACTTACTGTACGCAATAGTACAGTACATAAATTACACCTAGCAGGACCACTGAATCCTCCAACATCAACATTTACATTGTCAGCAAAGCATTAGAAGCCCTCAATAGCCTAAATAAAGCTGCTTCTGACCCTCCAAAAGCAAAATATGGTGGGCCACCCACACCAATGTTTCAGAATTTGTCAAGTAGATGAAACCTCGTATCACTGCAAAACTAAACAACATGAAGCTGTGTAAGTGTCAAAATATAGGACTGGACTTCATCTGGCCAAGTGATTGTGAACAATAGAATGGGCATCAAGGAGATGTGCTAAGGTATGTTTATCTAGACCTTAACCCCTTAGTTGGCAGCAATGTATAGCATACGACAGCACAAAACCTCTTCCAGGTAGCCTGAATAAAGGAATAGCTTTCTCAGCTGTTCTATGATCTCTGGCTGCTCTGAACCTTCCCCCACTCTAGAAAGTCCCCACAGCTCCTCCAATCCCATAGCACACCACCCCCACTGCAAACACAAAATTGGCTTACAGAAAATGTACTATTTGAGGGGTCTTAAAATCTGAAAGTGAAGAGAAAATAAATAAACACACTGTCTGGCCACCTACATTTAAAAGTGGAGTGCAGGGCCTGTCAGCAAAACGGTTAAGTATATATAAATTGCATACACTATACAGTGAAGACACGTTTCTGAGCGAAAAGTCATTTAGCAGAAATACCATATATGTATACCATCATGCATCATCAAAATGCTTACCTGGAAGAGAGACTGGGTACTGACTAAAAACACTGCTCCTTAAAGCTTCTTCTGCTGCAGGATCAAAGGAAAATGGAGCTAGTGGTGGCTGGAGTTCAAGAACCTAGTTAGATATAAAGATAAAAGTTAATCAAATCATCCAAGAGTGCCCAAACTGCTTGTTAGACAACAGTCAGCCTGCAGCACCACCTCACAATTTTGATGAATTTAGGAGCCATTCAGTTCAGTATGTGCTCTTAAACTTGGAATCTGCTGGCTAACCCAGTATAACTTCCCCCCCCAAGTATGCCTCAGTTGGATTTAGGGGGGGGGATAAACTTCAACCTTTTCTGCTATTCCCCACCTATTCCCAATCAAGGATTATGCTTAATCAGTAGTCTCTCTACTCGGCTACCTGACTGGCCTTTTTCAAGCCTAACCTTAGAATACCCAACCTGCTAAACAGGACATGCTAACCTGGAATATGACCTTCAAGCAGTGGGGTCTGCATTTTGCAGACCAGAGAGTATATTGTGTTTGCTAACCATGGACGGCTTTTCCTGTCCACAGCCATGGTACAGCCCAGGTGTGACCCTGTCTCTATTAGTTCACTTTGTGAATAAGCTGTGCAAGCCGAGAACTGGAAGCTACCTCATAACTAGATCTATTAGACAGCATTCACAATCCCTACTTTCCACCAATTTACTGCCAACTGTGTTAATGCTCAGTGATTGAGTGCAGACATCTGTTGGGCAGAGTTTTGCATGCTTCACACGCTTTCCTACCATCATTTATCATTGAAGAACTGTGTTCTCTCAGTTACAAGAGACATATGGAATGCTCCTTAGTTTACATATATGTGGATTGGATGTGGTTTGAACCGCATCCAATCCACATGACATGCAAAAGAACATTGCTTCCTATGTTGCCTGTTCACAGATTTCCGATGTACTGGTGGTGCGGATTCAGTGCGGTTTGAAAAAGTCATGTACAACTTCTGAACAGTACCTTCAGGTTCATGTGCGGATTACAGGTTATTGACTTCTATGGGAACCGTTTCTAAACTGCATATGTGTGAACAGGATAAGATCCTGCCCTATTCCTGTCCTGAACTTGATGTAAACCTGACATGAACCGCTAAACAATTACTGTATCAATCAGCTGTGAAACCTGAGCTTCAAATCCACACCACATGTGTGAATCCGCTCTCAGAATCCTTATCTGATCTGCAAGTGGCAACAGAAGCCCTCCAAGTCCTCAGCCACCGAGGCTCTGTCTGATACAAAGTCCCTCAAGTGCTTAGAAACTAAAAGGCATACATGTGGAGGATCATTTTATTGCTATAGTTGGACAGAGCAATATTTACAAACACATGCATGTGTGTTTATTTGTGGCATATCCAATTTGTATTTAAAAAAAAAAAAAAAAAACTAAATACATAAAATGCTTGGTTTAAGAACCCAAAATTAAAATATTTAATTTTAACCTCTTCAGTCCCACAGCATCACCTTCCCAGTTACACACTTCCTAAAAGATGCCTTCTTGGTCACAATGCGGAAGCACTGTACCTTGTGAAAACATTCTCTATAGCAAGATAAGAAGCTCTGGGGCAGACTATCTCAATATTAAAAATAATATAAATACTTACTGGGTTCAGTCCTCTGAAGAGGCTAAAAGGCGACATCCCAAGAATCCTCTTCCATTTTTTCTCCCAGTCCTTCTGTTTTTCCAAAATGGACTTATTAATAGAAACAAGATCTTCTCTCTTTATTTTGTGTCTAGAACAGTGAAGATCATGTTAACAATGTAAAACATACAAGATACACCTAATGGACAAACCCATTATAGGTTAAATTGTGTCTGCTCCGTATCTGTCCGTAACGATTTCTCTCATTTCGCCCCGGTCATCAGAAAGCATTTCTATTCTAGGGAGATTTTGTGACAAATGGAGCAAATTTAATCTCCATCTGTGTATCAATCCCCCACACCATTCTCCACATATTTTACATACATCAACCAAGTATGTACTAGGTAACCCTCACTTTTATGCAAAATTGAAAGCCATCTCTCAGTACCCTCTATCAGCTAACAGAAATATCAACACTGAGAAACTAGTCAGTTACTCTTAAGTACAAAAATATCAGCTCTCTATTACACCACAAACAATGGTCAATACATATTTAAAAGCCATTAAAATACAAAAAAACACTATCCTGCTGATTTATCTATATAAAAAAAATGTCCAGCGATAAACACTGCTCTCCAATAAAATGAATATTCCACCAACATACTGAACTATATCCTTTATCAAAATTAAAGCATCAGGCTTGCTGTAATAGTAGATTATACAAGGGGTATATATGGATTGTCACCAACATAGTGGTCATTAAGGGTGGACATAAGAAAAAGGGTCCATATTTATAAGGCCTGGTTCACAATATTTTATATACAAAACATGAACCATTCAGGAAAATTTGTATTTTAATAGTTCTAAAATGTGTGTTTTGACCATTGTCTGTAGAATAAAAATAGTTCGGATATTTTTGTACATAAAAGTTGGACTAGTTACTCAAGTTGGAAAACTTTGAAAGCTAATAGAGGGGAGAAATTAAAATGTAGTATGTATAGGAGTAGATCCAAATGGGATTCATTAATGTGTTAATGAGTTAGCAACCACATTTATTCCACTCAACCTATGCAAAAAATTACAAATCCTTGCAATTTCAAAAATAAAAAACTGACATGAATTCAACACAGCAAACAGTGCTAAGGAATTCTCAGCCAATAAAACCATGCAAAATTGTCAGCTATACCAGCCCTGAAAAGTGGTATTAATTGATCAGTAAATGTAACTGTTTAGGAGGTAGGAGACATTGACACACCAACTCCATTAATTCTGTGGATTTTGTAGATTTTTATTTTTCTCACCTAGTGTGTCTTAGCCTTGTAAGCATTTCAGTTTCAAACTTGACCTTTGCTTCAAGATACTGACAGTCCACTTGATGTTTCTGACCACCACTGCAACTCTGTTCTAATTTTGATTACTTTCAGGGCTTCATTTAGAAGCTGAACAATGGTTACAAGGTTCACTTTTCCAGCTTCATACACATTTTCTATTTGCAACTGTAACAGAACATTAAAAAGGTTAAAAATTACAATGTTGCCAGCTAAAAAAAATAAGTTTGATTACTATCAAACAGGTGTTCAAGATTAAGTGCCAATGTGACTGCCATATCACATATGTGCAGGTGCAGCTGGACAGCTCTGGTTTTAGTGGGAATTGAAAAGCAGTCATTCATTGGTTCAGGTCAGGATTTGAAAACTGGCCTGAAATTGTGTTCACAAACTCATGATGTGCGATTCTAAAGCAGTTCCCATTGTCAATGAGCCTGTGATCCACACCTGAATCGGATTGCACTGCTCAGAAGTCAGACAGGATTCCTTTTCAATCTACACTGCCAGTGCACCAGACATACACTACTAAAATTGCCAAAAGTACTGGGACGCCCCTCCAAATCATTGGATTCAGGTGTTTCAATCACCTCCATGACAACGGGTGTATAAAATCAAGCACCTAGGCATGCAGACTGCTTCTACAAACATTTGTGAAATTAGAATGGGTAGCTCTCAGAAACTCCGTGAGTTCAAGTGTGGTACCATGATAGGTTGCCATCTGTGCAATAAGTTCATCCATGAAATTTCCTTGCTATTAAATATTCCACGGTCAACTCTTAGTGGTATTATAACAAAGTGGAAGCAACTGGGAACAGCAGCAACTGAGCCACAAAGTGGTAGACTATGTAAATTGACAAAAGCGGGGTCAGTGCATTCTGAAGCGCACAGTGTGCGGAAGTCACCAACTGTCAATAGGTAAAGACCTCCAAACTACGTGTGGCCTTCAGAATGGCACAACAGTGTGTAGAACTTCATGGAATGAGTTTCCATGGCTGAGCAGCTGCATCCAAACCTTACATCACCAAGTGCAATACAAAGTGTTGGATGCAGTGGTGTCAAGCACACTGCCACTGGACTCTAGAGCGAGCAGTGTAGATGTGTTCTCTGGAGTGACAAATCACGCTTCTCTGTCTGGCAATTTGAGGGACATGTCTGGGTTTGGTGGTTGCCAGGAGAATGGTACTTGCCTGACTGCATTGTGCCAAGTGTAAAGTTTGGTGGAGGGGGGATTATGGTGTGGGGTTGTCTTTCAGGGGTTGGGCTTGGCCCCTTAGTTTCAGTGAAGGGAACTCTTAAGGTGACAGCATACCAAGACATTTTGGACAATTTCATGCTCCCAATTTTGTGAGAACAGTTTGGGGATGGCCCCTTCCTGTTCTAACACAACTGTGCACCAGTGCACAAAGCAAGGTCCATAAAGACATGGATGAGCAAATTTGGGATGGAGGAACGTGACTGGTCTGCACAGAGTTATGACCTCAACCCAATAGGACCCCTTCAGGATGAATTAGAGTGGAGACTGAACCAGACCTTCTTGTCTGACATCAGTGCCTGACCTCACAAACGTACTTCTGGAAGAATGGTCAAACATTCCCATAGACACATTCCTAAACCTTACGGACAGCCTTCCCAGAAGAGTTGAAGGTGTTATAGCTGCAAAGGGTGGGCCAACTCAATATTGAACCCTACAGACTAAGACTGGGATGCCATTAAAGTTCATGTGCATGTAAAAGCAGGCGTCCCAATACTTTTGGCAATATAGTGTATGTGAACAGGCACCATAGGAAGCAAAGTTATTTCACATGTCATGCGGATTGATTGCACTTCAAACCGCATCCAATCCACATGTATGTGAACCGATACTAAAACAAATTTTCATGGACCTGACAACATTCACACCTGCATTTTTCCTGAAGGAGCGGTTAACCATTTTCACTTGCATTACCCTTCTCCCTATAGAAGGTAATACCATGCACTCTCACCAAAACAAAAAAAGGCATTAACGTAGGAGTTTTGCACTTGTTTTATCTATGACATATTAGTTGTCTTGAATGACACATATGGGATCTCACAAGTCAAAGCCATTTTTAATTATCTGCATGAATGTTAAAGTAGAATTCCTGACTTTTTTTTTTTTTTTTTACAGTTTTGGAAAGAGGTGAATAGTCAAATAGTTTTATAGAGAATAGTTTTGGCAAAGTAAAAAGTAATTTTTTTTTGGTTGTTTTTAACATAGTAAAACTTAATTGAGTTAGCAGGGTGCCTGGCAGTAGAAAAAAAAACGTTAATGCACAAAAACAGCAAGAACAGCCAGACTCTGAACAAAGACATGGAGAGACATGCCAAACTGATTTTTTGGGCTTTTGGGCCGCAATTGACAATATGTCTCGTGTCCCTCAGTGGTTTTAGGATTTGGATTAAAGAGGACCCCCCCCCCCCTCCCCAGTTGGTTGGGATTTTTTGTCTTTAAGTGCAAAGGACTACAATTCCTTACAAAGTGTAGTCTAATGCCTAATCCACACAGAGAAGGAAAAAAAAAAAAAAAAAAAAAAAAAAGAATAAGACGAACAGCTTTCAGAGCAATCATACAATAATATGATCGTTCATACAAAGCTTTCGAGAGCTGATCATGTCAGTTCATGCTAAAATTAGCCATAGGGAAGAGTGCAAAATTTCTCTTGTATGATAACAGAATTAACGATTTTCACTTAATCAGTACAGTAGTTAGCAAAAAAAAAAAAAAAAATTTGAGAGACCAAGACCACACATGCTCAGAAAACTAAATACATAATACAATATATTACATCATCATGGGAGTTGTATTCAGCCTTACAAGAATTTTCTATAGTAAACTATTCATTTTTGATATAAGACTAGCAAGAGTGCCTAATTGTCTAATTGTGTGTGCATGAGGCTTTAGATGTAAAATCGGCCTTGAAGATTGCTTCTGTTAAATCTAAATTATGATTCGGCACTTATATTGATGGCAAGCTTGCAAAATATTTGGTTTTTATGATGATTAGTCATAATTAATATTAATATGTGTAAGTGGTCTATTGACAAATGGTAGTATTAGTATTCTTCAATTAAACTGAGACTGAAAAAGATATGAATAAGTTAAGCTGAGACAGTAAAAGAAGGTCGAGTAATACTATATTTAGGCATAAAGTATCTGGTAGTTATGTCAAGGTTATTAGTAGTGACTTACTATTACATTATGTATTTTAATAGTATCTGTGTGTATTTAGTATACAGTCAAAATTGTTGGCACCCTTGATATTTCTCCAGGAAATCATGTATTTCTCACGAAACGTATTATAACACAGTTTTGCTATACACATGTTTATTCCCTTTGTGTGTATTGGGACAAAAAAAAAAAAAAAAAAGCAAATTCGAAATAATGACACAAACCTCCAAAAATGGGCTGGACAAAAGTATTGGCAACCCTTTCACAACTGCGGATAAATAAGAATGTTACAAGCATGTGATGCTCCTGTAATCACCTGGGGCAAGTAACAGGTGTGGGCAATATAGAAATCACACACTGAAAGCAGATAAGGAGAGACGTTCACTTAACCTTTGCATTGTGTGTCTGTTCTGTGCCACACAAAGCATGGACAACAGAAAGAGGAGACGAGAACTTCTGAGGACCTGAGAACCAAAATTAAAATATCAACAATCTCAAGGTTATCTCCAGAGAACAGATTTGCCTTTGTCCAAGTGCGCAACATTTCAAGAAGTTTGCAACCCATGGCACTGTAGTAATCTCCCTGGTCGTGGACGGATAGGAAAATTGATGAAAGATTGCAACGCAGAATAGTCCGGATGGTATAAGCAGCCCCAAACATGTTCCAAAGACATTCAAAATCCTGCAGGCTCAGGGAGCATCAGTGTCAGCGCGAACTATCCGTCGACATTTAAATGAAATGAAACGCTATGGCAGGAGACCCAGGAGGACCCCACTGCTGACACAGAGACATAAAAAAGCAAGACTACAGTTTGCCAAAATGTACTTGAGTAAGCCAAAAGCCTTCTGGGAAAACGTCTTGTGGACAGATGAGACCAAGATAGAGCTTTTCGGTAAAGCACATCATTCTAACTGTTTACCGAAAACGGAATGAGGCCTACAAAGAACAAAACACAGTACCTACGGTAAAATATGGTGGAGGTTCAATGATGTTTTGGGGTTGTTTTGCTGCCTCTGGCACTGGTGCCTTGACTGTGTGCAAGGCATCATGAAATCTGAGGATTACCAAAGGATTTTGGGTCGCATGTAGGGCCCAGTGTAGAAAGCTGGGTTTGCGTCCAAGATTGGGTCTTCCAGCAGGACAAGACCCCAAACATACGTCAAAAAGCACTCAGAAATGGATGGCAAAGAAGCGCTGGAGAGTTCTGAAGTGGCCAGCAATGAGCCCAGATCTAAATCCCATTGAACACCTGTGGAGAGATCTTAAAATTGCTGTTGGGAAAAGGTGTCCTTCCAATAAGAGAGACCTGGAGCTGTTTGCAAAGGAAGAGTGGTCCAAAATTCCGGGTGAGAGGTGTCAGAAGCTTATTGATGGTTATAGGAAGCGACTGATTTCAGTTATGTTTTTTCAAAGGGTGTGCAACCAAATATTAAGTTAAGGGTGCCAATACTTTTGTCCAGCCCATTTTTGGGGTTTTGTGTGACATTATGTCATTAGCCTCTGTTTTATATTTGTTCCAATATACAAAGGGAATAAACATGTGTATAGCAAAACATGTGTTAATGCAATACCTTTTTTGTGTGAAATACTTGATTTTCCTGGAAAAATATCAAGGGTGCCAACAATTTCGGCCATGACTGTACGTCTCTAACATTGATACATATATAGTTTAGTGATTATACATTGATATGTTCTTAAGCTATATTATTCTTTAAATATATATAGCTGAGGGTTACGTCATTAGCTTATAAATATTTACATCAGCATTCATATGTTCCTGTCCATCAAACATCATATGTATAGCATCCCTTCCTTATATGAAATGGCTTTGCTAAGCAGTAATAATTTCCATAGAAAGGTATTAAGATCACTAACTATGACGTACATTTGCCTCTTAAAAGACCATGAGACATCGGACAAGAGAGACTCTCTCACACACACTTACACGCTACATGACTCTTGCATACACACGTCTGAGAAGCTGCAACAGGTGCATACTGAGATCACTTCCGGCTACAATATAGTCACGTCCGGTTCTTCCCCAAGGAGACATGAGAAGGACAAGTAGAGATTGAGACGGACAAGGACATGGAGTATCGCATATGGCAAGGACAGCCATGACAGATAATGGTGACTTTGTTTTAAACGTTTGCTTGTCATTTTTACAGTAGTTTTATCTACATGGAACTGTTCATAATACGCTTTACATTGTTATTTTACACCATTGTGTGATAGAATAAAATCACACTTCATTTTTTATTTTCAATGGCTCTTTCATTCATAATCGCCTCAAGACACTAGAAGAAGTATTATATGTGTCTAAAATCCAACAGCTTCCTTGGAGTATGATGTGTCTCTTCACTCAGTGAATCTTTCCACAGAAGAGTGAGGAACTTTGGAGGAGATACTTACCCTATGCATTTCTTTTTCAATTCTGCTCACCAATGCACTGGGAATGTTTAGAGAAATGTTCGATCCATCCAAACAGTACTGATCAACATCTCCAACGACAACTGAATCCACAACTTCCACTTCTTTTTCCATAGTTTTTAGGTTTCCCATAATGTTCTCCCACAATTGTCGCACACTTAGGCATTTGGAGAAAAAAAAAATGGTTTACAAAAAAGTCATAGCTACAACACAATTGTAACCAATGAGGCCTTACAAATCAATTTAGATTTGCTAATTTTTTTGCAGCTCAAAACAGAACAGAAATTAGTATACAGTCAACAGGACATTCACATACTTTAATCACATGCAAAACAAACTTTCTTCAAGCATAGATGTGCGTGTTCACATACCTCCTTTATATTATCTTCCCTATTTTCAGCATTAGTTTTTTCATTCTTTGTTGCTCTGAAAAATCATGAAGTAGGATAAGTATTGAGGCTAGTAGCCCAGAAATTTTACAGCAAGTACAAATGAAAACCACAAAAATGCCCATGAGAAGACAAACTGACATTTTACCAGCAAATGACTATAAAAACAAATAAAACATACCGTTCTATTAATCTAAAAATGTTACAAAATATGCTCTTGGTGACCTGTATAGCATCTCTCAGTAAAACTAAAATGGTTTTGTGGTGTATTATTGGTTAAGCTTGCTGCGTTGCAGTAAATTATGCATATTGGTATATTCCTTTGCCAGTAATGCTGAATGGCACCTCAACGCACACTTCTCACCGGCATGCGTTCTCACTCAATGGACTCCAAGAAAAGGATTGCATGGTAAACAAAACAGCTATTTTTATTTCCTGTTCATTGAAAAAAATAAGACTTTTCTCACAGCCTGAGCCAAAGTCAACAAGGAAAAGAAACGGCTATTGAAGAAATAGAGCAGGACAGAAGAACTGAAGAATGATGTCCTGGTAGAGAAAATATAGACTGCCCTAAGATAGAAAAATACCTTAGGCTTCAACTATGGCCTGATCCCATTACAGGCCTAAGAATAGAATTTTTTTTTTTTTTAAAGGGAAAGGCCAACATACCAGACTTCTTGCAAGGGTGGCAACTGGAAGCGTGGCAGGGAAGAATTAGAGAAGAAGTACCTCCAAGGAGTCCAAACAGCAGTTCCTGAAAATGCATAGAACCAATTCAATCCCACAGAATCACAAAAGACAGAGGGGTAAAGTAGATGGGAACTCCACGCACAAGGTCTTAAGCAAGGGATGGAAGAGTCCAGAATAGTACTGAGAACAAGGCTCTCATTTAAACCTATCTGCAAAAAGGGAAAACAACCCTAGGGTGAAGGTCCATAATAAACCTTACTGGGATATCATTCCTATCCTCAAGCATCATAATATTGACAGGATATAGAGATGCCTCCAATTCCCTAATCCAACAATCTGTTAGAGCCCACAGAGCAAGAGTCAGGAGTGTTATCAGGTCAGTAAAAGTACATTTGCATGCCTCGTTCCTAAGCAAGCAAGATGATCCAAAAATCCTGTCTCACAGGTCTGCAAAGCAAATCAGGAAAAAAAAAAAAAAGCTTTAAAAAAAAGGATAAGTTCCCCTTTGGTAACATGTTACCAAAGACAACCTGCCCGTGGCCCGTCCCCCGATCCCACCTTGTGACAGTGGGCAGGGGACCTTCTCCCCACACCCGCTATCACAATTCAAACAACGCATGGCCTTGCGGGACTCCGCCCACTTATCCGCATCAGTCATTCACATTTTCCTGTGAAAGAATTACAACTACCATCCTCCATTGCAGCTTGGAGTTCTCAAAAAAATGTGAGGGTGCTCTCACAGTTCATTGAATCTACTCACACTTCCACAACAGTCTGACCTTACATGGGGTACAGGCAGACAGCTAACAGAGTTTGCAGTATCCTGGCATTGCTCCCACGATCTGCTGATCGCGAGTGCATTGCTTTACAGGCTGCAGTGAGGATGATAAAAGGTCAAGATCCAGGCATATACATCCCAAACAGTCACCAGAGCATCCACTAATACCACTAGAGCAGGGGTGTCAAACTAGCGGCCCTCCAGCTGTTGCGGAACTACAAGTCCCATCATGCTTCTGCCTGTAGGAGTCATGCTTGTAACGGTCAGCCTTGGAATGCCTCACGGTTAGTTCTGCAACAGCTGGAGAGCCACCAGTTTGACATTCCTACACTAGAGGATTCCTGTACCTGGAAACAAGACGTTTTGCATACAGTTGAATCAAGGGGATCCACAGCTGGCTTTCTCCACCTGCAAAACCGTGCCTGAAATGCACTTTGGGTATATATGGACCTCTCCCCCATGTCCAGACATAACCAATTGGGGAAGCCTCCCTACGAAGTGTCCACACCAGACATGCATACCGCAAATGGGACTAGAATGTGAAGTTCTGCCCAGGTCAGAATCCAAACTCTTGTTACAAGATCTTATCCTACTGAACGGTTTAGCATCATAGTGGTGTCTCAGATTCAGCAGGATTCAGATCAGGTGACCTGAAAAGAGGATTATCCACCAATGTAAAAGAAATATCTACTGAAACTCCAAAAAGTAGACAAGGTCGTGGAAGAAACATTCTAGTCTAAGCTGACTACAGGTGAAGAAAAGATTCCAAAATAAAAAAACAGAGACACTTATGCAAATGAGGCCTATGTCACAAAGCAGACCATTAGAAATATCATATTATACAGAATTTCAGATAGTGAATTTCATATATGAGGCCTCAGAATACCTAGCTCAGGGGTCCTCAAACTGCGTCCTGACAAAAGTTATTTACACGGCACGCTTGGGGGGGGGGGGGGGGGGGGGAAACACACAACGGCGCTGGCAAATATAGCTAGGCCATGAGGACCCAGAGAGCAGCATCCTGGTGAATAATCAACCCATTACTTCAGTGGGGGAGGAAGGGGGAGGACGACGACACACAAGGTACAGCGAGTTACAGTGTCCAGTGCATTTTAAATATTGTATTTTTTTTCCCCCGTTTTTTTTTCAATACACATAAAAGATGTGTGGTGTGCATAGGCATTTGTTCATATTTTTTTCAAACTATAGTCCAGCCCTCCAACAGTGTGAAGGTCAGTGAACTGTCCCCGTTTAAAAAAGTTTGAGGACCCCTGACCTAGTTGAACATCAGCAATTGGAGGTCCTGCTCTCAAATTACCGTATTTTTTCGCTCAGTAAGACGCACTTTTTTCCCCCCAAAAAAGGGGGGGAAATGTCAGTGTGTCTTATGGAGCAAATGTAAAGTGGCCGGTCCGGTATTTCTGCTGCCACCATGTCAGAATATCGGGCCGGCCGCTCAGCTCTTCTCTCCTGCAGCAGGACCTTACCTGTTCCTCGCTCCAGCCTTCCCACGGCGGCTTGTGTGACAGCTGGGTGCCCACTGCGCATGCGCGAGAAGCGCTGCGCTTTGTGAATGGTCCAGTGTCTTCTGGGACACATGACAGGTCCCAGAAGGCTCCAGGCCATTCACAAAGCGCTGCGCTTCTCGTGCATGCGCAGTGGGCACCCGGCTGTCACAGAAGCCGCCGCGGGAAGAAGGAAGGACAACTCCGCTGAAGTGGGAGCGGGTATCTGTCAAATTCAGGTACCTGCTCCCCCTCCCTCCCCAAAAGGTCCGCAGTCTCTGGCCACCCCCTGTACTGTGCCCGCAGTCTCTGGCCACCCCCTGTACTGTGCCCGCAGTCTCTGGCCACCCCCTGTACTGTGCCCGCAGTCTCTGGCCACCCCCTGTACTGTGCCCGCAGTCTCTGGCCACCCCCTGTACTGTGCCCGCAGTCTCTGGCCACCCCCTGTACTGTGCCCGCAGTCTCTGGCCACCCCCTGTACTGTGCCCGCAGTCTCTGGCCACCCCCTGTACTGTGCCCGCAGTCTCTGGCCACCTCCTGTACTGTGCCCGCAGTCTCTGGCCACCTCCTGTACTGTGCCCGCAGTCTCTGGCCACCCCCTGTACTGTGCCCGCAGTCTCTGGCCACCTCCTGTACTGTGCCCGCAGTCTCTGGCCACCTCCTGTACTGTGCCCGCAGTCTCTGGCCACCTCCTGTACTGTGCCCGCAGTCTCTGGCCACCCCTGTACTGTGCCCGCAGTCTCTGGCCACCTCCTGTACTGTGCCCGCAGTCTCTGGCCACCTCCTGTACTGTGCCCACAGTCTCTGGCCACCTCCTGTACTGTGCCCACAGTCTCTGGCCACCTCCTGTACTGTGCCCGCAGTCTCTGGCCACCTCCTGTACTGTGTCCGCAGTCTCTGGTCACCTCCTGTACTGTGTCCGCAGTCTCTGGTCACCTCCTGTACTGTGTCCGCAGTCTCTGGTCAATTTTCGCACTGTTAGTGGGGCAATGGCATCGACCGATTTTCGCGGTTCCTCCTCATTTCGTTTATCGGTCATCTGGAAAATTCTTTAACAAAAAAGGCCGATTTTCACAATCATTGGTGGGAACATCGGTTTACAGAACGAAGTTTCATTTTTTAGACGAAAAATTGCCCAATAAACAAACCGTCTATGGCCTGCATTAGTCACACGAGCCTATGACGCATAAGACATGAATGAGCCGTGTGTTAATGCAGCTGGCACTGCATGGAGGCAGGCCATTAAGTGTCTGGGGATGCAACAGCTGCTCATCCTAATTTGACAGGCATGAGGATGCACAGCACCAAATATGTCTGTTACTAGAGCTAATTGCTTCTCCTTCGGCAGAAAAAAATAGCTTGCAGAAAACTAAGGCTCCATGCACACTGGGTGTTTTTAATAATTCTGGTAACGTTGGCTGTGTATAGTCACGTTAAAAATGTGAGTTCAGCATTTAGCGTTTTTTGCATTAGCGTTTAGCCACATTTTTGATTACCAAAAAAAAAAAAAAAAAAAAATTTTTTTTGCTCAAAAAAAAAGTCATAACGCTGGTTAGCCATGATTTACCACAGCGTTTTTCAGTGTTAGAGCATTTTTACGGCTAAAAAACCTCTCTAGAAACCCACTAGTTCTGGGGTTTTTTCCAAGCCAAGAAACATTAATTACAGTCTATGTGTGCATGGACACATAGGATAACATGCTGGGGAGTTTACTAGCTGTAGATAAAACTGTTAAAAGCCAAAAAACGCTGTAAAAACGTCCAGTGTGCATGAGTACTAAGAAGGTGATGGGGAGGAAATGTTCCACAAACAGGGAACTAAAAAAAAAAAAAAAAAAGTTTTGTAGTCAAGAAAAGATTGTCCGTCGGAAATCAGGGGGGAGCACACACAGAAAGGCCCCTGTAACTAGCATGATGGCCTGCGGAGAAAAACGGTTCCTGTTAAGCCAGAGGATACTCTACCTAAAATGGGAAATGCATAATCCACCAGCAATAAAATAGACAGTGTCCCAAGTTCAGCTTAAAATATATCAACTTTTGAATTATTCCCCAAGTCCTAAATTTTCTGGCCCAACTCCCTCTATTTTACCCACTTTGGTTAACTATACATACAGATCACTATTTTCAGCCCCTTTACCATAACATACACCACAGCACTTTAACAGCTTCTGCGCTGCCCTATAGGGCAGCACGGGTGCATGAGAATAGAGATATACATTCATTTATTTATTTGCGCTCCCGATTTAGGCCAGTGAAGGTCGGCCTAAGTCAGATGATCGATCCCTGTCCGATCAGGGATCTTCCTGTACCTGTGTTTTCTCAAAAAAGAATATATGACAATTGACAATGACCATTAAAAGTTATAGGGAATATTTGCATTCCCTGTGATAGCATTAAAAGTGATAAAAAAATAAATAGAATGAAAAGATTGTAAAAAAAAAAAAAAAAAAAAAAACCCTCGCCCCTCACCCCCTGCGCATGCATGAGCGCTAACCCTGTGCCAGTATGTAAACAGCAGTTGCACCATGCATGTGAGGTGTCACCGTGACTAGACCTCTGTACATCTAAAATGGTACCTTGGTAAAGGCTTTTAAAGCGTTGCTTATGGATATTAAAAATGTATGCAGTTTTCCGCCGTTGCATGGGGCACAGTTTTAAAGCACGTCATGTTTAGCATCTATTTATTCGGCATACCATCAACTTTTATATTTCACCAAATAATTGGCCACTATATTGTGTTTTTGTGCATTGAAAAGTAAAAAAAAAAAAAAAAAAAAAGTATTTTTTTTCAAAAAAATTTGCGTTTGAAAAATTGCTGCGCGAGTACTATGATAAAAAATTGCAGCACCCACCATTTTATTCACTAGGGTGTTTGCTTTAAAAAAATATGTTTGGGGGTAATTTCCAAGCAAAAAATACTGATATTTTGCATGTGAACAAAGTTTCAGAAAAGGCTTGGTCTTCAGGTGGTTAGAAGAGTGAGTGATGTGTGGCATAAACTACTAATGCTGGGCATAAAATGCCCCCACCCCCCCCAAAATGACCCCTTTTTGGAAAGTAGACACCCTAAACTATTTGACGAGAGGCATGTTGAGTCAAGAGAATTTATTTTTTTTACTGCAAATGTTGTTTGAAAATGGTAACAAAATGGTCACTTAAATGATTTATTGCTCACACATGCCATGGGTATACTGTATGTGGAATTACTCCATAAAATACATTCTGCTACTTCTCCTGAGTATGGGGATACCACATGTGAGACTTTTTTGGCAGTCTAGCCAAGCACAGGAGCCCAAAATCCAATAAGCACCTTTAGGCTTTTAAAAGGGCTTTATTTCCTCATTACACTTCCTGACTACCACAGTTTCAGAGGTTCTGAAATGCCAGGATAGCACCTAACCCCCCCAAAATGACCCCTTTTTGGAAAGTAGACACCCCAAGGAATCTGATAAGCACGGGTGAGTATTTTGCAGATCTCGTTTGTTGCCACAAGTTTTTGGAAAATGAAGAAAAACACATTTTTCTTTTTCTAGATTTCAAAACCTTGGGAGAAAAAAAGTTGCGCACCTTCAGGCTTTCAAAGTGGGTCATTGGATTTCAGGCTCCTGTATGCAGCTAGGTTCCCAAAGTCTCACACACGTGGTATCCTCATACTCGGTAAAAGTAGCAGAATGTATTTTGGGGGTGTAATTTCACATATACCTCCTAGATTGTAAGCTCCAAGGAGCAGGGCCCTCGAACCCCTCGTGTATTGCATTGTTACTGTATTGTCTCCCATTATAATGTGCAGCGCTGAGCAAACCGGTCGCGCTAAGTAAATACTGTATAATAATAAAAAATAATATACCCAAGGCTTGTGTACATCAGTTAAGTGACAACTTTGTATCTAAAAAAAATAATAATAATTCTTTTTTTTCCCCCCACAGGTTTTTGGAAAATCTTCCATGGACGCAATATGCCTCTCAGCACATAGCTTAGGGCACCTACTTTCCAAAAAAAGGGGTCATTTGGGGGCGTTTGTACTGTCCAGGTATTTTAACACCTCAAGAAATCATGATAGGCAGTCAGAAAGTAAAACCTGTGTAATTTCCATTACCTATACCATAGTTTGCAGATGCTATAACTAACACAAAGCAATCAATATACACTTATTTGGATTTTTTTTTTTTTTTTTTTTTTTTACCAAAGACATGTAGCAGAATACATTTTGGCCTAAATTTAAGACTGAGTCTACTGGATTTTTTTTTATAGCCGAAAGTAAAAAACATTAAGAATTGTTTTTTTTTTTTTAATTTTCGGTCTTTGCTTGTTTGTAGCGCAAAAAATAAAAAGCACACAGGTGATCAAATACCACCGAATGAAAAAATAAAGGACATAAATTTTGTTTGGGTACAGCATAGTATGACCGCGCAATTACTAGTTGAAATAGTGCAGTACCGAGTTGCAAAGAAAGGCCTGGTCAGGAAAAGGGGATAAATTCTCAGGAGGGCAAGTGGTTAAAAGAGGTAATTGGTTACCTACCTGCACTGGTTCTGCAAAGCCCCATACTCAGACCGCAACTCCCTTATCTGCTTTACAAGCAACCTTACAAAAAAAGGAGAAAAATAATTATTCAGACACTTAAGTTGCAAACTTTATAAAATCGCATTGCAATTTAAAATTATTTAGCCTGCTATTTTCCAGAGCCAAGTATGACTTCTGTAGTGACAGTTTTTGGTACAAACAAAACGGTCATTGTTTTTCAAGTCAATGTTCTACATATAAAAAGACACACACACACACACTTAAGAAATACTTTTTAATAAAATGCCCACAACTAAATTACACCTTACCCTTTATACATTTCAGCATGCAGTGACAAGCTGTTACAGCAGTCCATGTAGAAAGAACCACTAACAGTAGCTCTACTACAAAGGGCTTGGGACCTAATCTGTCAAAGTACCAATGGATCACAATAGTTTGCCTTCAAATCATGTGCCTAGCAAAGAAGGACTCTAGGACATTTTAGGCACATCCTACAGTGGGGATCGAAAAATATTAAAATAATCACATTTTGTTGCTTTGCAGCCTGAAATGAAGGCAGACAGTTTGTTTTATCTAGTTGGATGTTATAAGTTGCTCTGAGTAAATACAAGTGAAAACTAAAACACCATGTCAGAAAAAAAAAAAAAAAAAAAAAAAATCAAAACCAAGACCGCAGACTTGGAAAAAGAATCACCCCCCCCTTCCCTCCCCCTTCTGAAAAGGACTTGTAAACTCAATCGGGTGTAGCTAATCACCTTCAAATGGCACACAAAGCCATTTGACTTTCAACTGTAATCATCTGCGGTCATTTTGATGATCTCAAAATGAAAATAGCTTTCCTGGAGCATTTCAGTCCCTGGTAGTGCAACTGTAGAAAACAAATCAACTATGAGGGGGGCAAGGCAGTGACAAACGATCTCCAGGATAAAGTTTTGGACAGGCACAAGTCAGGAGGTGGATACAAAAATATTTCAAAGGCTTTTTCAATGCCTAGAAGCACAGTGAAGAGCCGGGAAGAAACTGGTTACAGAGGCTACCAAAGAGACCTACAGCAACTTCACGGCTTTTATGCGAGGATTGCCACAAAAAAGGAAAAAAAAAAAAAAAAAAAAGCCATGACTAAGCTTTGCCAAAACGCACCTTGAAGAATCTGAGGCCACATGGAAAAAGGTGTTATGGTCAGATGAGACTAAAATCAAAATGATTTGGCCTCCACACCAAACGATATGTCTGGCAGAAATCCAATATAGCTCACCATCCAAATAACACCATTACTACAGTAAAGCAGTGGTAATATCCTGTTATGGGGGTGTTTCTCTGCAGCAGGGACAGGAACACTTGTCAGGATAGAAGGAAAAATGGATGGGACAAAATGCCATAAAATTTGTGAGGAAAATCTGCTGCCCTCTGCCAGAAAGTTGCCAATGGAAAGGTTTACCTTCCAACATGACAATGACCCAAAGCACACAGCAAAAAGTGACCACACAGTGGTTGGAGAAAAAGGCGAATGCCCTTGCATGGCATAGTCAAAGCCCAGACTTAAACCCCATTGAAAATCTGTGGAATGACTTGAAGACTGCAGTCCACAAATGGTCACTATCAAATTTAACTGGACTTGAGTAGTTCTGCAAAGAAGAGTGGGCAAATATTGCAAAGTCTAGATGTGCAAAGTTAGAGACATATCATAACAGACTAAAGGCTAGAATTAAATAAAAAGGTGGTTCAAGAAAATATTGACAACAAGGGGGTGATCCTTTTTCCAACTCAGTGATTCTGGTTTTGATTTTTTTTTTTTTTTCCGTATATGTTGGTGTTTTAGCTTTCACTTGGATGTTATAAATTGCACTAAATGAGTTGAGTAAATACAGCTGGATTAAACAAAAAACTGTCTTCATTTCAGGCTGCAAAGCGACAACGTAAATTTTAAAGGTGGTGATTCTTTTCTATATCCACTATAGGCCCTTCGTGAACCAAGCTAAAAAAATGTTCTCTAAATAGGATTTTTTTTACCTGCAAAATCCTGTTCTTGTGAGTACATCATGGGAAACAGAGCGCCTTTATATTCATTATGAATAGGGCTGTGCAGCCACCTTCAGGTGATTGGACAATGGCAAAAACCAAAAAGACAGGAAGTCCCCTCCCAGGCATGACTCCTCCTCATTAACCAAGGCTTCAATTTTCAGTAGTAAGTCATGAACCACAAAACAACAAACACATAGCTGGGTCTCTGTGCCACACTATGTACTCCCAAAAAAATTTTTTTACAGGTAAACCAAAAACCGTATTTTCTTTTTGTACATTACTGGACACAGAGCACTTTATGTTCATTACACATAGGGATCTCTCAAACACTGAGCATAAGGGGGGGGGGGGGGGGGGGTTGGCAACACGGCAACAAGCCAACAAAACATGTTAGACCCACAAGCGACAGCCTGCCACACACACTGACCAAGGTAGCGTCCCTCAGTGGCTCTAAAATTCACATGGTAAAAGCTTTGTTGAAAAGGTACGAACCAAAGACCAGGTAGTGACTGTACAAACATTGAGCTACCAAAGACGGATGTGAATAGCCCAGGAAGTAGCCACACTGCAGGCACATGAGCAGTCACTGAAAAGAGAGGAACACATCCTCAAGACCATAAGCCGAAGAAAAAGCTGAAGGATCCAACGATAAAAATGGCCCTGCGTGACCCTTCTTTGGGCCTTGAGGAAAAAAAAAAAAAAAAAGTTAGGGAATCACAGCAGAGGACTTAAAGAAACACCCAATAGCATAAACTACATCCAAAGTCTGAAGAAGCTTGTTCCCCAGGGTCTATGGCTTAGGACAGATAAACGGCAACAATGTCCTTGTTGAAATGAAACAAAGAAATCAACCTAGGTTTAAAAAAAAAAAAAAAAAAAACCACCACACACCACACAAACACCTAGCCAAAGTTAAGTAGCTATAAACGGTTCCTTACATGAAAGACTAGATTTTGAAACATAAAAAAATATACTTAAAGCAACACGGGGTATGATTTTTTTTAAGTGAGGCAAAGCAAATGCAAACAGGACTGTAAGCTTACCATTTTATTTAGTAACAGGTGCTTTGATTGGCATACAGAGTGTTATAAAGAAAAACATGTCCAATGTCAAATTTTTGAAACAAGTGTTATTGAGTCCTTAGGACCTGGCAACAAAAGGGTTAAAGGCTAAGACTGACAGCAGGGGGTTTACACACAATCCGGTAGCTGCAGCCACCGCGATTGTGTCTATAACTGACAGGCAAACTCCTGCGCTGCCGCCTGATTGCTTCCATAGCCCCCCCAGTAATGTGCACCCCCCTTCCCCTTGTGTCTTCTATGAAGTACAAAGATATATATTTATTAAATATAAAAAAAAAATAAAAACATCCCAACCACCCCCCTTAGAAAAAATCTGAGGCCCCCCAACCCCATATATATGCACATACAAATGTAAACGTCGATTGCAATACACGTTACATATCGCTGTGCACGCCAGAGTGACTGAAGTGTCACCTATAGACCACAGAAACTATTACTCTGTTTTTGATAATTCTACGTCAAAGAGAGATCATTCTCATCACAGTGAAAGAAAAGGTCTCATGGTTTCTAGTCAGACATTTTCACAGGTTCCAAAATCAAATGGTGATGTTCATCCCCTTCTGGATCTCGAGAAACTCAAGTTTCTCCAAGTGTAGAAGTTCGGATGAAGTCGGTACAGTCTGTGGTGACCTCATTCCAGAAAAGAGCTTGCTGACATTACGGGACATCAAGATGCTTACCTGTGTGTTGTGTTCAGAACCTTCCATCTCACCAAAAGGTTCTGCGTTTTGCAGTGGAGGAGTGCCACTTAAATTTGTGGCCCTGCCATTCGGGTTGTCAACATTTCCCATGATCATCAAGGATCTGTTTTGGAGGATTCAACATACCAAAGTAACCCTGTTCTGGATATCTGCATAACTTGCATCAGCGGGAGCAATCTACTGTTAGAGACCATGGTGTCTCACATAGTGTACACTCTGGTGTGGTTTGAGCGAGCCCTGCATTACAGAAATTAGCCTTGGCTTCAGCCCAGAGGTTGAAATATTTATGCCTGATTCTGGATATCATCTAAGTGTGATACTCCTTCATAGGTCTTACTTTGAGGGCTCAGATATAGCTATTCAAGACTAACAATTCCCTCAATTTACTCTTGCATGAGGGTTCTCAGAAAGATAGTAGCCTATGAGGCAGTGCCTTTGGCCAGCTTTCTTTCCAAGACCCTCCTAAAAGAATGTCCTAAGGGCTTGAAACAGGTGGGTGCAGTCTTTGGTTTACCTGCTGTCAAACACCAGCACAAGACTGTCTCTGGGCAAGAAAAGAGAATCGCCGCATGGATGCTGAAGATGGAAAAATTGTTCCTCCTCTGTGTCATGGAGGGTCTTGACGACAGACACCAGCCTCAGGGGCTGGGATGGACTTCTGGACAATTTAATCAATCCAGGGAACATTGTCACTGCAGGAAAGGTTGTTGCCTATCATCATCCTGGGATTGAGGGCAATTCACCTTGCTCTATTGCATTGGGGGTAACAAAATACTCATACCCAGTCATCTACTGGATTGTAAGCATCCAAGAAGGGCTAAACACTTGTTCCCATGTTTTTAGCAGGGCATTACCAATGAAAATAGACTAAAGCCATTCCATTCTCAGTGGATGCCTTAACCACTTGCCTACTGGTCACTTTTACTCCCCTTCCTGCCCAAGCAGATTTTCACCTTTCAGCACTGTTGCACTTTAAATAATTGCACGGTCATGCAACACTGTACCCATATGAAATTTTTAAAAATTTTTCCACACAGATTTTTTTGGTGCCATTTAATCACCACTGGGTTTTTTTATTTTATGCGCTATAAAATGACAAAAAATTAAAGTGTTTTTTCTTAGTTTCCATTATAAAAGTTTGCAAATAATCTTTCTACAAAAAATTTATGCCAAAATGTATTCTGCTAAATCTCTTTGGTAAAAATAACCCAAAATCAGTGTTTATTATTTGGTAGGAAAGTTATAGAGACCACTAACTATGGTATATATATATAAAAATTGATAAATCCTGATGTAATGACAGCTGATCTCATTTATTGAGGCCCAGAAATGCCAAGACAGTACAAATGCCCCCAAAATGATCACTTTTCAGAAAGTAGACAGTCTGAGGTATGGCGAGGGTTTTGAAGTTAACATTTTTTGTCATAATGTTATGGAAAATGAAAAATACCTTTTTTCCCCACATACTGTCACCAATGCAGTACAGTGTCATCATATAACTAGTGCGGCTGTGACCAGGGACACTGACTGCCAACCACATGTAAAAAAAATTAATACATTTTAAAAAAAAAATTATTTTTTTTCTTTTACTTCTGTAACCAGAGCAATGTTACCATAGTAGTATTGTACTATTTTTTTTTTTTTTTTATATATACATTATGATTGCCTATAACAACAAGTTTCATTGGTATAAGCAAGTATTTACTGAATGAAACCGATTCATTCAGTAGGTTTTGTTGTGATTAGCTGTGATTGGCCATAGCTGATCACATGCCGATGGGCTGTTAGTGGCACTGTCTGTACATGTAATCACTGTGACCAATCACAGCTCGCAACACAGTTGTAAGCAGTGAATGGCGTGAAAGGAAGCCATTCATTGTTTACAAATGTCATGTGATATGCTGTGATTGGTCACAGCGATCACACAACACTGTAAATACAAAACATCCTTAAATGAGGATGTACAGGGAAGGATTGAGGATGCTGCAGCAGATGCCAGGATCCGAATCCTACAACTTGTGGAGTAAAGGATTTGGGAAGCGGAATATTTTTAAGAGTCCAAACCAAAAAAGAGCCACAAGGTCCCTTTGGGGTCTGAGATGAACCATAACCCTGGGCTTCTTCCTCGGACGAAGATTCTACTGCATTGCCTTCTACCAAACGTGCCTAAAAAGGAAGAGGGAGGAAAGGGGGAACACCTTTTGCGATCAAGTATTTTGGAAAGCTGCTGCTGAATTCAGTGGTAGCAGACAAGAATTGCTTCCTTGTCAGAAAGGAACTGAAAGAAGGTGCCCTGGAGGCAGCAGAGAAACCAGATAGATGAAGGCAGAGCCATATGGAGCAAACTGACCCCCAGGGGATACAATGTACAGTGGGGTACATTCAGGTTCCTCCCTACCTGAAATAAGGTATATAAGACCCACATGAGGGATGTGGCTTAACGGCGTGAAGGTAATGACGTCAGTCTGCGGATTGAAATTGACGTGGGTCTCTGAGTGAGATTTAAAGTACTAGTGTAGGAAAGAAAGATTTTGGATGGATCCATCTAAATGGATGATCGAATACAGTTGCAAGAAAAAGTATGTGAACCCCTTGGGATTACGTGGAGTTTTGCATGAATTGGGCATAAAATGTGCTCTGAACGTCATCTAAGTCACAACAATAGAAGAACACAGTCTGCTGAACATAATACTACACAAACATTAGATGTTGCCATGGTTTAATTGCACATAACATGTAAACATTCACAGTGCAGGGAGGAAAACGTATGTGAGGCCCTAGCTTAATGACTTCTCGCAGAGCTAATTGGAGCCAGGAGTGAGCCAACCTTGACTCCAATCAGTGTGATGATATTGGATGTGTTGCTGACAGCTGTCCTGCCCTTAAAAAACACACACCTGTTTTGGGTTTACTGGTTTCAAGAAGCACTGTGATGTGAACCATGCCTCGCAGAAAAGTGCTCTCAGAAGACCTACGATCAAGAATAAAACACCTAAACCTTACAAGGTACTGCTGCAATCTTTAATCCCACAAGGAATCTCTCTTGTCAAAGAAGTTCTGCCTTGTACCCCCCCACCGGCAAGGCTAACACTCAAGGGCTCTTTCTGCTAGGGCCTGCTGTGCTCAGCCATTGACCTCTCTAGCCCCTGCTGCCCTGCAACACCTATGTAGCAGCAACCATTATTGCCCAGAGAGCCTGCACTAGGACACTCTCACAGGGGACCCAAGATGGCCACCACCAGGGTGCTCGACTACTTGTGATCTCACCTGCCACTCTGTATATGCAGCCCAGCCATCAGAGTGAATGCAGGGGGTGGAGAATTAATCACCACCTCATATTTGGTGCCCTGGTCCTCCCAGACCACCCCTAAGCCTTGCTGCTTCTATGTAGTGCTTAGGAGTGCCCCAGGAGGCTCATAGCTGTACAGAGTTAAAGAAAGAACACAGTAAAATGACAAGTACATAAACAAAAAAGGTCTATGGCCACAGCACCCTTGTCCCAGCTTTAGGGGGGGGAGGGATTCACTAAAGCAGGTTATGGGGGTCACCAGCAGGGCTACAACAGGGCACCTACCAGATCAGCCACAGGACCCGGCCTAGAGGATCCAATCTTCTTCCATCATGGGTCATTGCCAGTGTCCAATAACCTGGCAGTGGCAGCATAACCTTATTCAGAATGAACATAAAGGTGCTTTGTGCCCCGAGAAATTAGATAAAGATATCTGTATTTTCCAATACTACTCACTGTGCTTTTTCCTGGTACTGCCTAATCACAACATTCTCCCTCTGCAGAGTTCGTAGGTATCTCTGGCGTGCCACCTTATTTCTTGCCAAGGCCTTTTCTTGGTCCTGAATTTGAAACTGGAGGGAATCGGAAATATAGGTATTTGTGCCTACAAAAAAATTATTTGTTTATTAAAAATACACTGACACACCAACACCACCACAAGAAATACGCAGTAACACCACTTTGTCATTATTTCTCCTGCTTATCATCCATCTGCTAAAAGACAAATTGAATCATGTCTTGAATTCAAGAACTTCTATTTAATACTACTAATGCTTAAAATGATCATAACTTAGGATAATTTATTCAAAAAACAATGGATCGTCCCACTGCCCAACATGCCCTAGGCCAGACCAGTGTCTGCAGCAGATTCACTGTGTCAATATGACAAACATACAGTTAGGAATAAAATGTTGAAATGTTAGTAGATTTCTTCATCTGACTTAGAGAATATTTACAGATTATGAAGGGTCCCTTTATCAAGGAAAAATCATACACCATCCTTAAAGCCAATTCATTTAGTTCCCACCTTTCACCCTCCATCCTACCATCCTTCACCAACCCTGTCCCTTTACCCCTTGGAACTTTTCAAAGTAAACGTTTTTAAAGATCAATTGAACCCTTGCTATTTATTACTGCATAGTCAGGCTGCATATACAGTAACATTTTTGGATGGTCTTCATTTTTTTTTTTCCTTTTTTAAAACACCAAGTGCTGCAGAAAAAGTTAAACGATTGTCGCAACATGCTGCCAGCACAGAGCAGGTTAATCCTTGTGTCAGCGTAAAACAAATAAAAAAAAACAGCATATTACTGTTTAAGCAGCAAGACTGATACAGTAATAAACAGTAAGCGTTCAACTGGGGTATAAAATTTGCAGAAGACATATCTTAGACTTGGGGCCTTAAATACTGTCACATGACAAACCAGGTCCCTTGTCAACATGGGCAGTCCTCAATGCCACATAGAACTGTACTCGTATTTTAACATGTGAACGCCATTCTGCGCAGCACTCCACTGTGAGACCAAACTTCATTATGATGCTGAACCAAAGGGATATGTAATTGACAGCCTGGGCTCACAGAAGTGGCTGAATGGCACTGGAGGCAAAAGTAACAAAAAAAAAAAAAAAAAAAACCACAGGACGACAGGTAATCAGAGGAGGATGCAGAGGGTACCACTTTTTTTGTAAACATGAAAGGGGCCTTCCAAAGCTGGAATCGTATTATTTATTTACCAGCATTTATAAAGTGCAGTCAATTTATGCAGTGCTTTACACACTATGTTCACATCAGTTCTTACTCTTAAGAAGCTTACACTCCAAGTTCCCCATCACACACACACACACACACACACACACACACACACAATTTAGGCAACAGCCTATAAGATACCACCATGGCTAGGACTATGGGAGGAAATCAGAGTAACTGGATGCAAACTGCACAAGGAAATGGAGAACATGCAATTTCCATGTAGAAAATGTCCTGGTCGGGAATCAAACCAAGGACCCCAGTGCTTCAAGGCAGGAGGTACAAACTTGAATATAGACATGCCATTACTACAATCCAACTCACCATCAACATTTCTTTTGATATGTTGTAACAAAACATATCTGGCAAAATGGTACAGGAGTTGAACAAACTTAGGACCGCCAGGTGAAAGAAATATGGATGCTGCAACTTGTGGAAAACCATTCCCAGCATCTTCCTATGGGGAAAAGCCACAATTACTACACAGAACTCCAAACATTTCAATTCAATACACCATTGTTGAGGGATGAGCAGGCAGAAGAGGGGAAGAAAAGGAAATTCTAGTCATTGTAATAACCGTACTAAACGACAAGTTACAAAATACTTACAGAAATCTTTCTTAGCCATTCATAGGATGCCTTCCTAAACTCAGCATCTTTCTTCTTATCCAGTGGAGGCCAACAATGCCTAGCCAAGAAAGGAAAATCAGGTAAACATACTTCTGTCTGCCAAGAAATTGTGCAAGGACCACAATAAAGCCGGGTACACACGGGATGAATTTTGGCCAAAATCAGCCAGTTCAACAGAAACTGGCTGACTTTCGGCTCGTGCGTACAGCTGCCTGTCTGATAGAAGCTGGTCATGAGAACAGACAGAAAAACATGCATGCTGAAAAACCAGTGGGCAGTAGCTTTCAGAACACAACAGCACAGTGTGGGAGATCAATGTACTGACATTGCTTGTGTTAGTACTGTTTTTTAACATTCAGCTTGCTGGAGAAAAAAAAAAAAAAAAAAAAAAACCTTCTTGTGCATACCAGGCTTAAGCGACTATGGCCACTAGCAGTAATTATGGTAATCTGCCAGCCGGAAAAGCCCCCTGCCGGAAGAATACAATAGCGCAGTGGGAAGCACTTCCCCTTCAATTGCTTCTCTTAGATGCATTAACCTTGATATAGGTGAAGCTATGTATGAAAACTGTGGCCATTATCTTGACTGCTTAACTGTGTCAGGCACAGGCTGTCATAAGTAAATGTGCTGAAAAAAATATTTGAGTAGCTTAATTTCTGACTTTATTTTTTTTTAAAGTTTGATTCCAAACAGATTGCCAGAGCTCTACAAGCACCCACGCATATGATTCCTGCTGCCCTCAGAACAACCAAAGTGGCTGGCACACTTCCAGACTGCACAAATCTGTCAAGCTTGACCATCATCAAAGTGGGACTAAATTAGCCAAAACAGATTTGCTTATCTGATCAGCATTTGTAGAAGATGCAATAAAATGCTAGTTGAATGCCTGGGGGAAAAAAAAAAAAAAAAAAAAAAAAAAAACACGACTTCTTCCAAATATGTGCACCCTCCATAATTTCACTGTAGGGATGCATCACCAGGTCAAAGTGCCATCACAGTGGAGACACTAAAATTGTTGCATAAATAATCACTTCTTAATCAATCCAGCTCTTCCAGCTGAATGTCCCATACAGACCAGAGCACTTTTTAGATTTCCACACTGTTGATTGTACTGATTTCTCAAAAACTCCTTACTTAAAACATCTGACCTTACCCCACCTTTAAAATAATACAAATAAACCTTGAGGAGAGCACACATTTACAGAAACATAACTAATACGTTAAATTTTAGTTTACCTGAAAACTTCTCTGCACTGCACAGCATTTAGTTTTGAAAAAAGAAAGTGGAAAACCACATAAAATGCATCCTTATTGGGCTTATCAAACATGTTCCTAGAGAGAAAAAAAAAAAAAATCAAACATGAATATGCATAAAATTGAGGCATAAAAAAAGAAAGCAGATAACAAAAGAGAATATGTTGCTACTGTCATAAACCAGTCATGCATGGATCGGAACTCGGTTCCGACTTGTGTACAACCAGACTGTTGGAAATAATTTTCTCGATCAGCACCACCAGCTGTAGCCGGCAATGCTGAGGAGTGTATTCCGATTGCAAAGAAATTCTCTAGAGTTTAGAATAAAACAGCGCTGTGGGAGAGATTGCCTCATCTACACTGAATGTGTAGATGGGGGAAGTCAAGTCATTTTTGTTGTTCAACCTATAGGTTGAGAAGTTCAAAAAAAAAAAAAAAGACTAATGTATGGCTAGCCTTATAGAACTACAGTGTTAAGCTGGCCATGATTATTCCCCCCCCCCCCCCCATTCAGCTAGTATGCTGAATGAAAAGAAACAAATGGATTCCTCAATCCTGATAGCAGGACTCTTTGTTGTTAGTGGCTGCAGAGCAATATAAAAGTTTTCCAACATTCCCATTCAACAGAACTCGATCTAACAATGAACTTCACCCAATACAGTCCCAACGCATCTGGTGTGAATAGACCCTAGGCTCCTTTCACGCAAAACGAAGTCCACTGCAGATCCCTGCTGATTGGAGCTAAATGGGACACGTTACTGTTTTGACATTCATGTTCCTTTAGCTTTGTGCCCGACTGACATGGGCAGACTCTTGCCAGCTCTATGGGTAGCCAGGTGTAAACGAAATCCACAATCCATCTACATCTGGCTACCAATGATCCAGTCTAGAAAAAAAAAAAAAATGAAAGGATGCAGTCCTGGATGCATCTGGAGGTAGGCGGGTGTAAACGGACACAAGTCTGTCTACAGCCACCTGTTCATAGGGCTCCATGGGCCTTCTGGGGAGGCCCACCTGAATAAAAAAAAAAAAAAAAAAAAAAAAAAGCCAAAATCACGTCCCACTGGATTCAATGTGAAATCACGTCCCGTTGACTTCAATGCAAAATGCTTCAATTTCATTTTTTTTTTTTTTTTATTCTACATATATTTCATTTTATTTTCTGTCCATTTTGTGTGTGTTCCTTTCAATGAAAGTTATTTTACTGGAATGTATTTTTTATATTAATTTCAATTCATGATATTAATTAAAAAGTTGACTATAATACAATTCTATATAAAAAAATATGTAAAAGAACAAAACTGTCAATGTCAGTTTTTGGCCATGTGCATCCTGAATTTTTGTTTTCGGTCCAGAATATTTATTTTGGTGCACCACTACTTTTTGGTTAGCTTTTGCAAAACTGCACCAAAGATGCAGAATTTTAATTAAGGTTTAATTTGAGGGTATGTACATCCAAATTGGAGGAAGGGTTTAGGAATTACACCTCTTAAGAGTAACCATCCCCCCTTTTTCAAGGGACCAAAAGTAATTAGACAATTGAATCAAAAGCTGTTTCATGGCCAGGTGTGGGCTACTCCTTCATTTCTTCATCAGGTAAAAGGTCTGGAGTTGATTCTAAGTGTGGTACTTGCATTTGGAAAATATTTCTGTGAACCTACATCATGCATTCAAAGGAGCTGTCCATACAAGTGAAACAGACCATTCTACACCGCGTTCCAAATTATTATGCAAATTCTAATTGTCAAAGATTAAATATTTTGTTTTTCAGTGTAACTCATGGATGGCATTGTGTGTCAGGGCTCTTTTGATCACTGAAAACAATCTCGGACACCTGTGATAATTAGATTGGCAGGTGAGCCCAATTTAAGGAAAAACTACTAAAGAAGGGTGTTCCACATTATTAAGCAGAGCACCATTTTCAAGCAATATGGGGAAGATAAAGGATCTCTCTGCTGCCAAAAGAGTGAAATAGTTCAATGAATTGGACGAGGTATGAAAAGAGATATTTTACGAAAACTTAAGCGTGATGACTGCCTGAAGCCTGGAACCCATGGACATTACCAAAGACTGGGTTTCCTCCTTTCTGATGCTTTGCCAGGATCTAACTGCAGCTGTCTTCAGTTCTTTGTGGGTCTTTCTGCCTTTAGTTTTTCCTTCAGCAAGTGACATGCATGCTTAATTGTTTTCATACCTCGTCAATTCTGAAAATTTTATTTGGGTACTATGTTGCATGACCGCGCAATAGTCAAAGTGCAACAGTGCTGAAAGCTGAAAATTGGCCTGGGCAGGAAGGGGCTATAAGTGCCCGGTAGGCAAATGGTTAAAAATTAACATTTTATGATCATATTCATTTGAGCCCTTGAAAATGGAGGGACTGTGTATATAAATGGTTGCAGTTCCTAACATTTGTACTTGATATTTATGTTATGTTCAACCCCTTGAATTAAAGCTGAAAGTCTGCACTTCAAATTCATTTGGATTGTTTCGTTTTAATTAATTCTGGTGGCATACAGAGCCACAAGTATGAAAATTGTACCTGTGTCCAGGGGCAGACTGACCATTCGAGCACTTGGGCACTGCCCGAGGTCCCAGGGTCAGTAGGGGGCCCCATGAAATGCCCTTGCTACCTTTTTATTGGGTGTGCTTTGAGTGTGGGCAAGGACACAGGGGCCCCACGAGTTGTCAGTCTGCCCCTGCCTGTGTCCAAATATACAGTATATGGACCTAACTATGTGATCTCCCACAGAACATGGAACTGCAATTATTTTAGTAAACAAAGTGCTACAGACCTTTTTTCATCAGCAGTCTTGTGATTTCTATCAGTGTCCAACCAAGCATTGACTAAAGCTTGTAAGAGGAGTTTTCATTTTGCTCTAGGAGGATGCAGGACCCCTGACCTCCATCTGCACAGTGCAGATTAGCCCTATGCTAAACACATGCACTTTTCCAAAAAAAGAAAAGCCTCTCTAGCAACACACAAACTGAGCATGTGCAGACACAAACTGTCTTAACAGGAAATAAGGAGCAGATTAACCCTTTAGGTCCCATAGTGAGTATAACAAGCATTCTTTACTGCAGACTGATTTTACAGTTGTGGGTTTAGTAACACTTTAAAACAAAGCCCTCAAGTGGCACGCTGTCATTGCTGACAGTGCTTCCATCCTCACCCAGTCCTTCCAGGTTCGCTGGCTCTGGTGGCTCGAATGGCCAAGCTGCGATGACATCACACACATGCCTGGAAGTCACTTTTTACGACACACAGCTCTGAAGGAACGGCACGGGCATGCTGTTCCTTCAGCGCACATAGGCCAGGGCTCTGCACAGGTAAAACGCTCCTAAACAGTGCACATTTGTGTGATCATTACAGTACCTGCAGGCAAGCCCGATTATAGGTTCACCTGTATGCACAAGTACAAAAACTGACTTTCCTCCCAGTGTAACAGCAGTAGGGTCCTAAGAACAGCAGAGGAGACCAGTACGTCTAAGCGATTGGCACTCACACTCCAAAGGACACATGGGCCAGCGTTTTGTTCAGTGTGGTGGCCTCTGCTCCAGCCTGGAAGCCCAGGGCCTGCAGAGTCAGCCACAGGTGCTCCTTCCTCCAGGCGGGGTGGGATCGTGCGGAGCTCTGCATGCTGCTGGCCGGGGAACACACAGCACCGAAATGAACGTGCAGGAAGTCCCGCTGTGATGACTACACGAGCAGTTCGTGGGCTATTCAGGGAAGCCAGCACTTATCCTATCACCATATCACTGCAGGAGTCTTCGGTCCTCGCAGCTCTACTCGCCGGCTGCCAGAC